CATAACCGCGGGGCCGCGGGGATATACTCGATTTAAGACCCCATCGCGCGTTCGCCCACACGACAGAGGCGTCCCGCGAGTGGCCCCCGCGGGCCCGTCCGCCGCGCGCCAGATGCCGGACGATCATAATTAACCCTTTCACTGCCACAAGTAAGAGACACCGTCTGCTTTCTGCTACTTTAGATTCAGACGAGAGTCCTATTCCTTACGAAACTGGTGATGGACCGGCAAAGTATCGAATAAATTTGATGTAATTTGCTCTGTCCGCGCGAGGGACTTATTTAAGATTATCGCGGTGAATCGCTTTACATTGCACACATTTGGTTTTATATAAAACACTTGGAATTAATTTCAAATTTGAAAAAACTAAAGAAAATACATTTTCTCTTTTAAACTTTTGATTTCGTATTAAATGAAAAAATATGTAATAGTTATTATAATGGAATATAATAAAATTAATATAACCGGAAAAAAAAGATTGTTGTTCGTTAATAGTATTAAAGAAGACTTATATGTTTTCCAAATAGTGATAAATCTAGAAATCATAATTTTCCGATTCTTTCCCTTATAATACTGCAGATATGGATCAGTCATAATATTTATGGAATGTGAGTGGCAGTAAAATCGAAGTGAAATACCGAGCGTACGTATTGGCTTTCGATATTACACCGCAAAGATGTTAATGCAATTTCGCATGCAATCGAGTTTTTATACATTGCAGCGACTGCATTTTTTTTTTTTCTATCGGGATGATCAACAGAAGGACGCGCATTCCTCGCGCGGACATTCTCTTGACGGCCGATGCCGACAACGCTCGAGAACTAATCGTTAATGACGGAAAAACCGATTGTAATCTTTGAATAAGTCTGTAAGCTCATGTAGAATTGTCCGCGGATGATTTGCATAATGGGTGAATCTCCCGGGAGTTACTTGGCGATCGGCAACAATATGCCTTTCTCTTGGCCGCGCGCAACACGCGGACGCTTAAGAGGACGCGTGTGCGCGCGCGCTTGTCCGCGTGCGCTCTTAGAGATAATCCGCTCCACGGTAATTTACTAGTTATGGCAAGTAGAATCATTCTAAGGATGAAATTATCCCCGTAGCTACATTATATGCGCAAAACGGAATTATACCTACGATCCTCGTGGCAACGAACCGATCCCCCTGATTTAGTAATATACGACCTCTCCGTCTTCCTCACCCCCGCCTACCCATTCTATTCATTTCTCTATCTACGATATTACAGCATGCGGATATAATTTCATGCTGTAACTAGGATTTGTCTATACCTGTGCACGTGTAAAAACTTGCAGTATTCATACGGTAACTTCTTGCATTTGCGCTCGATTGGAGAAAGTCTATACAATGCTCAGCTCAAGAACACACATTGCTCAAATCCATTGTTAATAAATTTTTTGGTTTTATTTTAATAATATTTGCTTTTATCGACCGTGTGAGATTCACGAGAAATTCATATACGTCTCGTTTCTCATGCGCGCGTTGAAGTCACCGCGGTGTGCCCCTTAAAATAAGACATTATCGCTTCTTACACTAGAATTACAGTATATTAATTGTAAGAAATTGCGTATCCGTCTGCAATTAACATACGTTCATTAATTAATTTAGGCGGTACGATAATAATTTTTGTTTCGTTACATATTTGAATATGTTACATTTAAATGCGAGATGCAATGTAAAAACTGCTTTCGCCACTTTCGCGTGTTCAATTTCAAATTATTTTATATAAAAAAGTTTTCTTTCTATATAATATCTATAAATAAGTATATTAATCATTAAATATTACCTGCAGAAAATTATTCTTTTTCCGTTTCCTCTTTCCATTTCTTTATGCATTTCCCTGCTTTCGCAGATAATTAGATTTGTTAATTTTATTAGAGTTTATCAAAAATTCATTATTATGATAATGTATCCGAATTATATTCGATTTATAATATATGTAAGACAAGTGTAAGTTACTTTTATCTACGTACACGCGTCTTCGGTTTCCCAGCGGAGATAAGATTGCGAGATGTTATATACCATACTGTAGAAGGCAAGGGCCAACGAGGAAACCCGAGAGAACGGGAGAACGGGAAGAAGGGGCGCGCGATTGAGAGGAAGCCGCGGACGCGGCGAAACGAGGAGAGCGAAGCGAAGCGAGGCGAGGCGAGCGAGCGAGCGCGAAACGAGCGTGCACGTGGTGGCACGTGGAGAGGCGTGGTTCGTGGGAGGACCCTGCACACCAGACCGCTGCAATCCACTTGGCACACGCTGTTCTGCTAAGCCCTACTCTTTTCTCTCGGCCGTTCGCCACCCTACTCTGCTCTCTGCCTCTCTATCTCCGCGCGTACACCCCTGCCTACGGCGCTGCCGCGCGTTCTTCCGCGTGGCACGCGTGCATTGTGCCATCTTAGGTGCTGGAACTCTGAGCCCCGTTACGCTCCGTTCCGTTGGCACAAGAGAATCGGTTCGAAGGAAAAATATTTGGAATTTTTTAAAATTTGGAGTAAAAGGTCTATGGGTATTTATTTGTTTATATTTTTGCAATATTTTGCAAGACTAAATGTGAAAGCTCATTTAGTCTTGTAAAATATTGCTTTATAAGCATAAAGGCTATATTTAATTTAATGCAGGAGTTAGCAACACATTGAGAAATTAATGTAATTAATAATTAATCTTATTTCTTATTTTACACTTTTATGAAATTGTCACTGTAATATTTCAACGCTCTATATACAGTAACATTATTGCTTTCATATATTCTAAGTTATTTTTTTAAGTGATTATAATTATTTATATTGCGCTCCTATTTAGCGCATCTTTTACGATGTACTTGCTTATACTTCCATCGTATTTCTCGCAGATAAGATTGCATATTCTGCCTATATGCAATCTTAAATCGCGGATTTTATGGTACTATCTCCTCGGGCGGGCTGTTAAGTGCCATTTTCGCACGTAAAAATAATCGCGGACAAGGTATACAACGGCCGTTCAATTAACTGTAACTGTAACGTGCTACGTTACGGGTTGACGTTCTCTTGGTATCGGCTAATTTACTGCGTAGCAATAACGACATTGTATTTTATAGCAGCGAGAAACATATAAGTATTTTTATTTCTCCGAAGCACGCGACTATCACGAGCTGGCAGGTAGTCTCGCTAATTGCATCAGGTCGGAGTTTACGATGCAATTAGTAATCCAGAATTCCTGACATCCGTGGATGTCAGGAGTGATCGATCGAATTGCTTTGCTTTCCATTAGCAAAAGCTTTATTAGACTAAGATTTACGACAACGTATTCTTACTTTTCTTCCAGATCAATTAATAAGAGAGACTCTCTTTCGACAGATTAACTCACTAAATAAATACTTATCCACGAATATATATATTTTTACATATTAAGTTGAAAACTTAATGATATTGAAATAATTACTGTAATGATTTATAAAAAAAAATGGGTTTTATATAATTCATATTATGACCAACAGTCAATTGTGCAATCATAAAATTTCATGCCTATTTGCATTAGGTAACTAGATGAGGAGTCTACATATTATCCCACCGCCCACATTTCTGACATTTCCCACAGTGCCAGGAATATACCTATATCTAAAACGAGCGATTCTTTATATAATAACGCACGCATAATTCCTGTAATTTCAAAGATTTGTTTTCAATAACCCACATCTCTCTTCTATTTTCTCTCTTTCTCTGCCGATAATCACACATTTCACCTCACGCAAACTCCAGGATAATTAACGGGAATTGCCGAGTCTGACACAGCCGATGCTTCATCCCGTTTGCGGAAGACACTGCCGATTTCCCCGATCGCTTTACGACGGGCTTCGGCGAATAACAATAAGCCCGTTCCCTCCCCCCGGACGGGCGTTCAATTTGCCGTAACAGCCGGTCCATTGTGCCTAATCGTCACTTCTTCCACGGGCGCAACGCACACCCCCTTGCAGAATCGGTCGGCGTCACGGTGAAATCGCTTATGACCGATGTTTCGCGATCGCGGTGGGTGGTCCCCGGCGTGGCGCGATCATGAAATTAAATCGAACACGACTTCGAGGCCCGTGACTATCGACGAGTGGCATCTCGTTGATGCGCCGGGACGCCCTGCATCCGGCTGCCGTTGTATCAGATTACTCGCGTATCGAAACCCATCCTGGTTGATTCGATAAATCATCGATGTTCCCGTTGACTCTAATCTCATTCTTTCTTACAATCAAATAAATAGTTTAAGATGTATGAAAATCATCATTAAATATTATGATTAAATAACATTGTAAATCGCGATTAAATATGTTAATATCGGATTTATTAAACTCTGATAAAAATTTCTATATTTGTCATCTTGTTAAATATATTTTCATAATAAAAATAGAACTTCAAAAATTACATCATTTTATAATTAGAGAAATTAGTTTTCTTGTGCATTTTGAATTCTTTAGAAATGTAAATTGAATATAATTGCGGAATTTCTAGGAGAGATTCATAGAATTGCTAATTTCTTAATTACTAGCGATCTTTTAATTACTATTAATTATGCGGCGAAAGCTGCAGCGTCTTCTTAATATCGATGTTATGCCGTAAAAGCGTGGTCGCTGAGACGAGACTGTCTATCGCTTGGCCGTCAGGGGGATAATATCGCGTAATAATAATCGGGAAGGGAGGTGGGGCACGTGGTTGTTTGTATAGAACGGGGTTGTAGTATTTTAAATGCCAATGATTTCATGTCTCCCCGGGGTGTTCGAGACCACCCTATATAGGACGTCCCGGCGACGTTCAAGTGCTCAGTCGACGACGAGGATTCACCGATTAATAAGATCCACGGCGAATCTCCTGATTGTGCTGAATGTAGTGAAAGTGAAAGATTTCGGAAATTTCTCTCGTATTGCCATTAGGCTTGCCTTGATTAGCTATTAAATTTTAAAAGAAGTAATAGAAATTCATCGTCGTAATAATATAATTTTCTAAGCTGTAATAATCTCTGCAGACATGATCGCCATGGATGATGGACATTCTCAGTATCGTAGATACTGTATGTATCTGTTCAAGTATATTCGATTTCTTTCGTAGATTTTGTGTATTGAAATTTGAGAGCAAATTTATGCTGTGATGCTAATTTGAAAAAATTATATATTAATTATATATTATTATATATGAAATATATAATTATAAATATCAAAAAGATTATAAAACATAAAATCGAGAGAAGAATACTTTCCGAATTGTATCCTATCTTGCAAAAGATAATTTTCTCGTTTTGTAATTAATATTCGGAATAATATCGATTTCGAAGTGTGCGGAGATTTAAACGTCGGAGAGTGACCGAGTTGTACTTAACGCGCCCCTCTTATACCGCGCACCGGAAGTGCAGTATGTCACATAGAATGCTAAACATCAATATTAACCGTATTCTTGATAGAAAAAGTGTTCCGCTGCGTCTCTCTCGGCCGTATCGTTTGAAATTGACATATCAGAAAGTTTTTTCCTCAGAAACGAGGTTACGATCCATTTTTGCCTCTTCGCGCATAATGAATAATGTTAGTCTGTACTCCATATTTGCTAACATTTAACGATAGTTAAATGTTAGCAAGCCTGCGCATTATTTATCGCTCAGTGTTCGAAGTCTCTTATTGGAGACACGTGCATTGTATATTGCACATCTTGCATCTCACGTACATTTAAATGAAGGAAATATTGAAAAAATACTGAATACATTAATAATAATAATTGATGAAGTTGGATTTTTATAAAATCTTACTTTACTAACGGTAATATTAAATGAGAGATAATATCTTTCAATAACATCGTGCGTTCTCAATTTCTTCTCAATTCCTTTGCAAAATATCTCCTATTTTTATTCTTATTTATATTTTCATCAAAATAATTCTTTTTATTTCAATTTACCTTTTAAATGATATTGCTTGCCTAATATAAAAATATATTAACCGAGAGTGCCCGTTTGGGTGTTGCAGGGCAACTGCATTCGCCGAACGGCGACAGCGACAACAGCAACGGTAGCCAACGTGCGGTGGCTGTTACCCGTAGCGAAGTAGAGCAGCAGCAGCAGCAGCAGCAACAACAACTACATCGCCAACGACAGCAGCAACGTCAAGCGACCGCTACCGTTCCGGTTCTCGCCTGCACTAATCAATCGTCTATCACCACGACTACGACCGCCCTCACAGTGGCATCAAGCATGCTACTTTTGCAGACACAGGTGAGCTCCATTTCTCTGCTTCAGTCATACACTTTATCTTTAATTTTCCCATTAGATTCGAATCGAATTCATTAAGTCGGAAATTAAGTAAATTTCGAGGACGTGGAAGAAGACGAGACGATTATTTTAGCGATAAATAAAATTGAGGGTAAAGCGAAACTTGGTTATAACTTCAATCGGCATTCCGAATTGCCGTCCGCACTGCGAATCTTGTCGGCCGTAGCTGCGTCGATTGAACGGATCAGTTAAGTTCTCGCTTGCATGTCTACATGATGCAACATAAGTTGTAATTTTACGTAATAATATTCGTCCGTGTAAACACTCATATCTCACATCTCATCTCGCCTCTCATAAATAATTCCACGAAGGTCTTATGAGAAATATGGATATGTAATATTCCTTAAAGAAAGTATAAATCTAGATGTAACGTGCCGCAAAGATCAAACAGTCTCCAATCAAAAATGAATTTTGATTATTGTGATAAGTATTTTTTCGACTAAATTTATAGAATTATATAATCTTTGACATTAAATAATAATAAAACTTATTGATTTGATGTAACTTAATAAAATTCATTATATTTTCTGAAGAATAATCTTATAAATTATCTAAAAAATCAAGTTTTAAGATTTGTTAGTCTTTTGAAAGCTTTAGGATTCTTTTTTTTTCTTCACAACTTTTTGTATTATAACGGTAGACTATTTTTCTGTCTTTATATCATTTCTTATCATACAAGTTTTATCACGGCAAACACGCAAAGTAGCGTTCTACCTATCAACCACGGTGTATATTATCATTGAAATATTGCCATCCACTTTTTCCCACCGATAAGCTTCTGCCTTTACTCGACCAGGCTTGAAATTATCGCGTCACGATCCGATGGTTAATCCAATTCTCTCTTATCGACCTCTCAGACTCCACGGATTCCACGGACGGTCGCGCTTGGCCCGTGTAACAAGACTCTCTCGCATTCCTGCGATCGTCATCCGCACGTATCACGCACAATCTGCATTCCATATACTTGGATGCCGTCCTACCTGTTTCTCCTTTCTTTTCCCTTTTCTCCGGTATCTCCTCTCGGTTTCGACTCCTTTTCCGCGATGGATGTTGCGGTCAATTAACCGCTGAAACGAGAATGTGCGCCGCGGAATTAGCGGGGCAATACCGAAGAGGTTGTCTCGACAGTTTAGCAGGAGAAAATAGAAGCTAGAAGAGGAGGGGGTGCTTTTAGGATGGCCGTTTAGCAGGCCATTTATTCACGGTCTGGAAGGACGACTCTTCGATCGCCGGTCCTCGGGGGAGCGATGAGCGAAATGTCAACTCCAAGCGGAACCGGCACTTGCAAATTGAATATCCACCCTCCTCCATCATCCCCCTCCTCTTCATGATGCTATTCTTCACTCTCTGCCGTAGAATGTTCTATTGCTACGGTATTTTCATATTTTTCACTCTCGGATTTTAAAATCGATACTTTTTTACCCAGATCGCGTGAAATTGTTAACGACGATATGGAGTTCAGTTGCATTTCATCGTGAAAAGTAATTACTATTATTTCAAACAACCACAAAATAACGTGCCATTTGCACATTTGCGAATATCATAAAGTGATATACTTGAATATCTTTTTTTTCCTTCAAAATTAAATTTTGAATAAACATTTTGCATGGTAACTGTTTGATTCCGGTCATTGAGAAAAATAATTGTATTTCGAGCACGCCAATAAAAATAACGCGCCATTTGCACATTTGCGAATATCATAAAAAATATCATAAAAATTTGAATATCTTTTCTCTTCCTTCAGAATTAAATTGCAAATTTTGAATAAATATTTTTCGATGGAACTGCTTGATTTCGTCAGTATATTCATATTTTTGTTGTAACTATAATTGAGAACGCGTTTATAGTTTTGCGAAATATGACGAATTTATTTCGCAAGCAGCAAAGAAAGCATTATCGTATGATTACACAAATCGCTCGTGTATCGCGATGTGATTAATCTCCGTCGTTAATTTTGAAAGTTGTTCGCAGTTTGAATATTTTACGGCCGATTGAGTAATTCATTACATTAGAGTATCTCAGTGTACATAATTTCTTGTCGAGTCGATTTACGAAGTGTATCAATACGGTCCGCGTCGTTTATTATTATCCTATTGCCGCGCGAATATTTAATCGCAAGTAGGTATAGTGTTTTACCGCTCATCGACTATCGACTATCAATGATTGAAGCGGGTAGGAGAAAGAGAGAGACAGACGAGCAGGGAGAGTTTGAGAGAGAGAGAGAGGGGCTCTAAGCCTCTATCGAGCGCTAGCTTATAGACAACACGCGATACGAGCTTGGCTTGTCCAATCCTCTCTCGAACATCCTCACTGCGCACCTCGATTGTACATCGATGTCTCGACGGTGCGGCCTGCGGCTCGCAATTGTGGTCGAACAATGTTTCCGCCTTGCAGTTGGGTGCTTCGATTTGCCGCTCGCACGGCTCTCCGGAGACCGTGACGGCTCCGCCGAAGGAAAACATTATTTAAAACGGCGTTTAAAGTTAATAGTCGATTCTCGTTTATCCGGTATGTAAAGATTCGCAAGGTTTATGTCGGTATGGTGTTCAAATTGGCTCACGTCATTCGTGCGACGCAGGTATTTTTTTTATTTATGTTTCTTTCTATTTTATTCATTTTCCCGGTTTTCGATTCATTTACGATAGAGCTTATTATATTATTTCGTGTTAACATTATTAAAGTTTGTGATATAAATTTTCATTAGAAATCATTAATGTTATTTTATTGAATTATTTAAACTTTGATTTGTTTCTTAAGGCAAAGAAAGTTATTGTTTAATTACTTTTGTTGAGAGATCAATATTATACTATCATTTATTATAAATATTTATTTTCAATTTTCTTAATATTTTGATAAAATTACATGTATATTGTTATATATTTATATCTATATTTATATTATTATATCTATTTCATTATATGATTGTATAATGTCACTTAATAAATATGACCACAATTTTTCATTGCAGAGTGCCAATCCCTTTGGCTTCGGGGATTTCCTGAATAGCCCTTATCCGGACGCTGCGGATACGAGCTTGCCCGAGGAGTTGGATCCCTTTCCGGAACTGCAACTCGGGAATCCGCAGGGTGTACCTCCGGTCGACGACTCTGTTCAATCTCAGCAAAGTGTACACCATCAGCAGCCATCGCAACCGCCACCACCACCGCCACCCCTCCCCGAAGACATCCAAGCTGATTCTCTTAGGTATGTAAACTATCCCTAAACTTCTAAGACCATATTCTAACATGAATGATTACAATTTTTTATGAGGATTTCTCGAACACAGCAAGGAAACTATTATATATTGTTATCGATATTATAATTAAGTCATCGAAGTTTTTGGAACGGCAAAGCTTTCGGATACAGTGCTCGTATAAAAATGTCTACGCGTCTTTGTTTGCAGTCCTACGCCGTTACCGAGCTTCCAGGAGACCTACACGCAGCGATACACTAGGCAAGAGCTCCAGAGTCTCGGTATTAAGATGGACGATGAATGCTACGACAACCCGGTATATTCCTGCACTCCTCATTACCCGACCGATTTCTCGACCGCGGTGCCCTATCACGAGCAGCAACCACAGCAGCAGCACCCTCACCACCACCCGCAGCATCACCAGCCGCAGCAGGCCCCGCATCACCATCAAGGCTACTTCCCTACGGAATCGGCGCCCACTCCGGCGACGGCGGTTGTACCGCCCTCCAGTCATCGGCAGGACCCATCCTACGGGGTGGCTGTCACCATGCCCATGGTTTACGGGGCACCATCGGCTATTGCCAGCGTCGCCACTCCCGTAGTTCCTACCGATCTCTGTCCCAATGTCGACACCAGCGTCGTCATTGGTACTCGGCCGCGAAGGGCGTCACTGCCCACTCAGAGATCAGAATCGGCAAGGTAAGATCTTTCACGAAGTTAATGTAATAAATAATTTCAAGTCTCATTGTGCTCCTCGTATAAATTAACGGCATTCTAATGTGAGAGAAACAAAGTTTGTAATATGTATGATCCTTTCGAATTCATTATTTCGTTCACAGTTTTAATCGCGAAGTCAAATCTATTTACGGAGTATACAAAACGAAAACTCCAATTTAAAAAATTTTAATTCACATTATTCTGAAATAAAATAAATCGTGCGATCTAAATTCGCGCGTGTGTGTGACGGATCTTTCAAACTTAGCTATAAATTAAAAAAAAAATAAAAGACGTGAGTTCGATTTCCACGTTTATGATTAACTATGCGTATCTCGAGGACACGAGACCTAACGAGTTTTGGGAGAATCTCCGGTTTTGACTAGCGACGGGTTATAGATCAATGCGCGTCCTGTGTCGTGTTAACAGTAGTGGGAGCACGGATTCCCCGAAGCCACGCGGCGGCGGTACCGCGAGCTCCACCGTCAGTTCGCCGTCGCCCGGAAGCGGCACCAGTGGCGAACGCGCACCACCGAGCCCGAGTCAGCTCTGCGCCGTGTGCGGCGACACCGCGGCCTGTCAGCACTACGGTGTGCGCACATGCGAGGGCTGCAAGGGCTTCTTCAAGAGGACCGTGCAGAAGGGCTCCAAGTACGTGTGCTTGGCCGAGAAGGCTTGCCCGGTAGACAAACGCCGGCGAAACCGTTGCCAGTTCTGCCGATTCCAGAAGTGCCTGATGGTTGGCATGGTTAAGGAGGTAAATAGCATCGTCGCATCATTGTACAATATACACTCCGAAAATGTTTTTTTAGATTTGTTTATAATACGAAGAAATTGTAGATATAAAATTTCTTAATTTTGAAGTATAATGAAACAAGTAAACTCTTGATGGCTAATTAATAAAATTTGCTAAAATTGCCTCTAAGATTTAAAATTAAATAAAAACTTATATTACGCAGATAAAGTAATCGAAATTATACAATTATTAAATTCTACGCCAAAGGTTACTTTAAAAAAACGGCAAAAATATTATTATTATATTAACGCGAGCGAAATAATTACGAATGTGCAATGAAATGATTGTAGCTTATTTTACTATTTAATTGTTGAACAGGTCGTTAGAACAGATTCTCTGAAGGGCCGTCGAGGTAGACTGCCTTCAAAGCCCAAGTCACCGCAAGAATCCCCACCGAGTCCGCCGGTCTCTTTGATCACCGCTCTGGTTCGCGCCCATCTGGACACAACGCCGGACAAGGCAAGCCTGGATTACTCACAGTACCGACAACCTAGACCGGGCGATCCTCCAATGACCGAGGCTGAGAAGATTCAACAATTCTATAACTTATTAACAACCTCAATCGATGTTATCCGAAACTTCGCCGACAAAATCCCCGGATTCACGGATCTAGTGCGGGAAGATCAGGTGAGCGATCATTTATCGCAATATAGAGATGAATAAGATAAATCGAAGCCATAACGATTTAAAAATATAGGGGATAGTGTCTCCAAGATTACAGAATTTTTACGCAAAAGTCATAAGATTTGAATTCTTGAGAGTTTATCGTTGTTTTTTCCTCGTTTGCTTTTCTGTTTTTTTTTTTTGCGGTCTTATCGAGATGTGTGCGCTTTTATTATATCACTGGTCAGGTATCAATTTCTCGAACGATATCCATTGGGAACTAACGGTTATAGAGATCGATAGCTTATACATTTTCTAAAAGGTCAGTCTTGACGAGCTTTTGACGCGGTCGGTTGGCTGACTAGCAAACTGCTCGGTAGGACAATAGACGTTAATTTGTTAATATACAGCTATAAGCAGAAGAGATTTTTTGCTGTCTCAGACTTGTCGTAACATTCTAAATGAAATTTGTATTATTTAAGATGTTCAATATTGAGAATAAAGTAATAAAATATTTTTATTTTAATATTTTAAAACACATTATTATATCTTTCGATTATCTCAATAGTTTGCGACCTTAAGAGTGTACATTCACATTAATAATTTCACAATGTAATCTGCTTTCAGGAACTGCTCTTCCAATCGGCCAGTCTAGAACTGTTTGTGCTCAGGCTGGCGTACCGCACGAACCCGGACGACACGAAGCTGGTCTTCTGCAACGGTGTCGTCCTCGCGCTGGAGCAATGTCAGCGCAGTTTCGGCGACTGGCTGCACAGCATTCTCGACTTCTGCAAGGCCCTCCACTTTCTGGAGGTCGATATCAGCGCCTTCGCCTGTCTGTGCGCTCTCACCCTGGTTACTGGTCAGTACTCGAATTTGATTTGCACACTCTCCTTGATTTCACGATCGAATGAATTGCCAACAGTTGCGATCTCTACTGTTATTAATTATTAATTATTCCGCGATCGCGCGACGTTGTCACACCGCGCGCGGTACCGCTGGTCGTTTTCTTCAACGGCACCTTCCATATCTTCCCTCATCCAATTCGCTTTACCTGCATTCCGGTTATACCGGCCGCGCTAAATAATTAATCCGTCGGATCAGTTAATTATTGATGCTCCGACGAAAGGAACGACGTTCCTCGTTCCGCACGCGATGTGGTTCCGTTGGCAACCAGACATGCAGGTGTGCGGTTTACAAGCGCGTCCAATCAGAGTTTCCGTGTTTGGATAGCCATGTGTCGAAGGTCGAGTGACTGATATTATTGGAGTTTAATTGATTTATCAGTGTTTCTTAATCTCGAATGTTTTAGTGGTGTAGTAATTAAATTTCACACTGTAATACATCATCAATATCGGCACTTTCCTTTCAAAATATAAGATTCTATTTCTATATTATCTGCAGTATTCTCGCGATTTTGTTAATTTCCGATAACAGTGTAAAATTTAATCCGTAACTATAACTCAATATTAAAGCTTCCAATACTATTTATAATACTATTTATAAATATTAATATTAAAATTTCCGGGATTGTTTATAAATTCTTTCCGCTTAAAAAGGAAAGAGATTCGTAAAACTAAAATGCGTTCTCAATTATATAGGTCAACAAAAATATGAATATACAGACAAAATCAAACAATTCCATGAAAAACGTTTTTTTTACGGAAACATTATTATTGTTAAAGAATTTGGTGGCAATTCATGGATTATTTTCTATTTTGGCGAAAACGGCGATCTCATTCAAGCTGATTCGCGTGCTTTCAGAGAGGTACGGATTGAAGGAACCGCAGCGCATGGAACAGCTGCAGATGAAAATTGTCTCGTCCTTGCGCGACCACGTGACCTATAATGCCGAGGCGCAGAGGAAGTCGCAGTACCTGTCGTACTTACTGGGGAAGATACCAGAGCTGAGGAGCCTCTCGGTCCAGGGCCTCCAGCGGATCTTCTACCTCAAGCTGGAGGACCTGGTGCCGGCGCCACCCCTGATCGAGACGATGTTTGTCGGTAGCCTGCCCTTCTAAACCGAGCCGAGCAGTCTCGCCAGCACATAGAACAATTATTTTCTCAGACCCAATCTGCGGTTGCGTTATCTTCGTTCTGATTGCATCCTTCTTTTAGTTCGTATTACACGTAGCTTTATTCTCTTCTTGCGTGTAGACCTCGCGCGATCCCGCGGGTACGTTACGGTTCTCGACGACGCTCCGATGAACGGTCCACTCGCGCCTCGCGAGAGGACAATATCCTGAAAGGGCTCGTCGAGCGGGAAGAGCGAGGGGAGCCATTTATTGGTCGTACGAGCGAGCGCGGACGGAATTTAAGCTGTCCGCGCGAGCGCAGACGCTAAACTTAAGGGAAAGTTTGTTGTACGTATGTATGAGCGAATGGGTATATGCATATGGGTGGGAGCGTAAGCGGAACGTATGCATCCAACGTGCGAACGTTAAGTGTACAGAGTGTCTCGACGTAGGTCTCTGCATGCACGACGTGTCGGGTGGCGGGTGTCACACGTCGCCGTTATTACTATTAGTAGTAAGTGCACTACTACATAGTCGTGCTGTTGTTGTGCTGCTATGCTGGAGAGCGGATCGGCGCGAGCGGATGACGAGAGGCAAACGGGCGGAGGAGGAAGAGCGGGCGCGAGGCGGGCCGCGGCGATTTCGCTATTCTCCCTTCTAGCTGTAGTAGATTTCGTGCGGACTTGACGGGACGGACGGGAGAGACTCTCTCTTTCTCTCTTTCAACGCAGGAAGGCTATCAGCGCGAATTTTTCTCACTTTTCTACCTAGTTTGTACGAGGCTCTCCGTGCTCGCGCTCGGCTCGCCTCGCCGCTCCCATTCACGGTCCACGCGCGCGACCCGCCACTTCTCGGACACGTGTAATATCTTCGGCAATATCTTGCTCGTCGCGGGGGAACGCATTCGGCGATTCGCAACATATCAGAGCAACGGACGGGGAAAGGGGCGGACAAACGCCCCGTCCGTCTTGACAGTAGACGTAGGATGTGACTGTCGGTCGCGCTCTCGATGGACGGACGATGCCGAGTGCCAGATGCATCGATTGCTTGCTCGACTCGCGTGGCAGGAATCGATGCGATTCTATGTTACATCAAGTTAAGTATATTCCTTTATTTGCTTTTCGTTATTTTATATCGTGGACATACCTGTCCCCGATGACAGGCGCGCTTTGCGTTCTCGAGGCAAATATGATTGAGTGCAATGAAGAATATCAAATGATAAAAAACTCGCCGGTGGAAACTGAGATATGAGCGAAAGCTGCGAGTTCACGTGCATTTAAATGCCGCAAACGGGTTGCAATATGCGTCCCTCGGGTATCTATATGCTAATGGAAAATGAGTTTAGGAGTGGCACTATTATTTTATGAGTTACTTACAGTAAACTGTAAGGAAAGTTGAGAAATATTCGAGATACATTTTCATAGTATTTTTATACACACTTTTTACACGTTTTAGATGTGCGCGTCAGTCTTTAATAATATTATTAAAAATTCAGCAAGTGTTTTTCAGATGTCAGTTATTTTAAATCGTAAATGTTTACCAAACATGTATTGTGCAAGTATTTTACAACTAGGCACACCTAAAAAATAATTTAAAAATATTACGTCTCGTTAAAAGTGATCGATCAGAAATTGTCAAGTAGAAAGAGTTAGATTTTTAAATTTTAATTGTACATTTCAACATCGAGAACGGAGTAGCGCGTATAAATGGATTTCAGTCCGCAGCCTCGCAAAGCAGTTTAGACATTTTTCACCGTGGGATTTTCGCAGATTCCATGTGTCCCGCGATCGTGTAGAGTTCTTTTTTTTTCTCTCACGTAACGTACTCGCAAACGAGCTCGGCATTGTCAATGCCGTTCGAGCGCCGGTCCGAAGCGCATGGTCGATATCGATCGACTCTTTACCACTACTCTTGCGTTTATGTGATTTTAGAGAGCTAAGGCGAACAACCACGGGCCCGCCTCGTTTTGAGGAGGCGAGAGAGTGCAGTTGAATTCTCAGCACGAGACAGCGAGGCGGGCCCGGCTTAAAGTTACCTATTACGTTATGACATTTACTTTTTTAATCAAACTAACGTAGAGTGTCCTATTTATATACGTATATAACGCGCCGCTACTACTACTTAACTACCACAACTACTACTTTACTATACCGTTATACTTACTACTACTCATTGATAGCGTTACTATTCTATGGCGTTACTACCACTACTACCACTGTTACCAGCGCTACCTTTACTACCACCTTGTGTTACCATTGTCTCGCTACAGTAAGCTTCGCCGTCGTTGTCGTCGTCGTCGTCGTCGTTAAAATGCCTCTCATTGCGCACCAGTATCCTACGATCGACGCGATAGACGGCAGAGGATGCTGTTCGAGGCTTTCAAACAGGCGTCCTCGCCGCCAGGTTTACCGCAGTCGACATGCATCTCTGTTTTTTGATGTATATCTTAATATTTTATCCACGTTCAAGTACCGTAAGATAAAGTAAGATTGCATAAACATCGGGAATAACTTCGCATTCGAGCGAAAAGGGATTTCACGATTATTTTTTACCTAATGTTGAGAAATATTTAAATATATTTAAATATATAAAAATTTTATACAGTACCTCTTCATTCGTTTTCGCCTTTTATCTTAATTAAAGACGTTACGTTATTATTCTTAAAATTTTTTTTAATTTTATTGTTAGTAAAGTTATTAAATTTTTTCGTATTTTTTTTTGTAGTTTTAAGATTTTTTAAATATATATTTGTAGTTTTATATTTTATTTACACCGAGAGAAAGAGATAACGTTCACGGAAGTAAGAGTAAGCTTTAGTCTCAACCGCTATGGTTGCTTCAGTTTTAATTATCTTCTTAGATTACGTTAGATAATCCTGAGATCTATTTTTGTTCAGGCGCAGTTACCATTGCCTATGTAATCTTACGATAACCACCGTCGTCATCGCAACGCGATCCGAGCTTCGTAACACGACAGATCAGGCATTGTCCTTACTACCGCGGTCCACACAGAAACAGACACACAGATACATATACATACATAAACAAAGATCACGTTAATTACCTGTACGTGCACAATATAGATATGATAATTACATGTGTATATGTTAATGTAAAGTCGTGTGTATCCGCAAATGTTCGACGCGCTTCGCATACGTGGCGGAATCAATACCTGGATCGAATTCGCCTTTTACTTATATATAGCTATCTATACGATTGTGGTTCCTCGTATTAATGTCGTCTGTATTTTGTTTAGCGATATCGTTCGCGTGATGTGCCCGTACACGATGCAGTGCACGGAAGAAGTAATAATAAGAAGTAATCAAATACTTCGCGTTCGATTTCCGTCGCTGGAAACGGACATATTTTACCTTCATTCAACTGTTACGAATTTCGAAAGCTTTTGCAGTACATATTCGGAAATGTTTTCTCAATTCTCGTTGCTAATTGAAATTTAATGCTTTGCGGCCTGAAAAATATAGGCACCATTTTGTGTCAGGATAATTCCAGATCAGTTAAAAAAATTAATCTGGAAATCAAAGAAAATGATTTTTCTTCAATACAACAATACGCTCTTCAGAAACGCAATCAGTGATCGCAGTGTAATAATATTAGCGCAATGATCAATGATACTTAATTACCGATTGCAAATCCATAAAATAATTTTGGCCGTAAAGGATTAATTAATAATTGTGGTATTGTGCTACTTATTAATAAATATTATAAAGGAACGGTTTCCTGTAAAAATCCAGGGCTCGCCATGATTAACGTATTTGTGACGAGAAAAATTAAAGATCCGGTTTTTAAGTAAAAAAAAAGTTAAATATTCGATTGTTTACAATAATATATTTATAATAAAGTATTGAAGAACAAATCTTATATAAATTACGATATATTTATCGCACACATGGCGAACTCAATGGACACCGTTGCTACATTGGCCGATATAGGCGCAATAATTCTTATATCGCATATATATGTGTCACGCGTTTGTTAATTACTAGCGATGACGTTTTAAATAATCAGTCTTAATGCTCTAATTACTCTTTCTACAAAGGGACAAATCAATTCCGTTTCCAGCGGACACAAAATTTATAGGTATCGACATAAAAAAAGGAAAAAAAAAATATGAAACGCGCAATGAACAACATATCAAGTTCTTCCCCCGAAAAACAAATTGCCATGTTTGTAAAAATGTTTCTCCGCGTACCGAATGATTCATTAATATGCTTCATTTACACGTCCACGTTTGCGGATGGATACGCGCGCAAGTGTTCAAAAAAGACAAAATGCCCGGTAAGAATGCAAGGTAAACAGGATCCGAGGGTAAAAAGGCTTGTACGACCCTTGCGATCGAAATTAAGATAACGCATGCGAGAGCGTCGATTCTGCTTCGAAGGACACAAACTTCGGAAGAGCTTGTTCTCGTCGGTGAAAACTAATTCGCGCCATGAAATCGATAGCAATAAGATAAGGAAGTTCTTTACGATATCAGACTGATGCCAATGTTTCTGTCGGAATATTTTGTAAAGAGCGAAATAACGTGTTAATCGATTGAAGAATTTTAGAGATACAAAATCTTGCCTTTTTAGAATTTTCTAAAAGTGAACACTTTTTGAGAAGTCTCTTTAGCTATGAGAGATCGTAACAAATATTTCTAGGCATATATAGAAACAAATATTAATCGTTGAGCTTTGAAACATTTACAAAATAACGTGTCGGTAAATACTAAATATAAATGTTTTCTTCCGTCCGTTGTGCGAAGATAAGATATTTAATAATGAGCTAGTTGGGCAAATTGAGAGAAAAAAATTCCAGGAAATAAAAATAACTAGAAAAAAAGAAGGATAATGTTGTATTAATGATAATAAAATCAGGTAATGCATTGGCATCGATCTGCGGCAATATAATGTAATTAAAGCGGAAATAATTTTTCACATTTGTAAGAAACGCTTTGGCGCAATTGGAATCCTCGAGGATGAGCGCTTCTCTTGCCTGATATTCGCCTTATCTTCTCCTCATATCAGTCTTCATCTTTAGATGTAGAGATCCTCGAACGCATGGAAATCGACTTTCTCGCCCGTGCAAAACAAAGTGTTGAGTCCAGAGGAGATGTCGGGAGGGGAATTATCGGTCGCAGAAAGATCGAGATCGGAATTTCGCGAGGGGGCAGCTCGGCTAGAACGAAGGAAACCCCGTTGAGAGTTACGGCCTCCGTTATTATACGGAAGATGGAATTTCGTGGCGACGTATGTTAGTGTTCCTATATATATCTTTTCTTAACGAGAGTCCGCGCGAGAAGAGAAAAGAGTCAGCGGCCCCGACTGATATCTTTCGCTCCTGGACCGCGGAAAATCGTCCCCTGGACTCAGCGCTGCGGCGAATTATTTTTTACGAGAAATTGTCATAAAAGAGAATTAGGCGTGAGAAAGGAGCAGAGATAGGAGGGCAAAATCGGATCGTTCGGGCGTGAACAATAAGATCTCATCCTCTCCGAACGAGATCGTCCCGACATTGTTATTTAAATCGATTATCTGTCATTACTGTAACGAAATAACAGTCAATTCCGTTAGGTGTAAATCTATCCCTTTTTCCCCGTTTCATCGATGTATGCAATAAATGTTCGATCAACAGATTATTTAATTTCTCTTCGAAATTTTGTTAATAAATTATTTTCTCGATTGACTGATCGTAATTTACTGAGTTTATTCGAGGGCATTATCTATCATTGGATTCGTGAAGCGGCGGACGTTTGCGTACAGGGTGTTCCGCTGTGAAAACTATACGGAAGTTGTCGGCTTCTCCGAGAGCTCAAAATGACGGAAAGGTAATCATGATGTCATAAAACATACAATGTATTATGTAAATTTCTCCTACATACATTTTCCGAATGAATTTGAAATTTAGCCTCTCACTCTATAGTGCTCTTTCTTCGTTTCTTCGTTAAGTTGTCAAGCTCTCTTCATACAAGTTATTAAACTTTCTCTATCAGTTTGAAACACAATTTATTCCTCCTGATGTAATTTTCATGATTGTCAAGAGAAACATATTTATCTTTCATCAAAATAAAAATTGTCGTTACCTTTGGTCTTCGATTGATCGAAACATGAACATAATTAATTTCCTCGTATAATGTTTTGCGATAAATAATAAATAGTTTACAAATACAACTATAATATTTGCCTATAAAATTCAGCAATTTGACAAGGTTTCAATAAGCAAGATAAATAAGACAAATTCGCGATATTAATTAAATTCTCTTTAACCGTGAAATTAATTTTCATTGCTTCACTCTGTCATACGAACGTCCGCACGCTCAGCCAAAAAAAAATCACATTTATAAATGTACGACAAATGTACTATACCTTATATACGCGCTTAACATATACATATGCATCGTGAGAGAGATGAGCGTTGCACCGAAAATAAATCTAGTAAGTTAACACAAACGAACACGTGTCTACACAGACAGAGAGAGAGAGACAATGCGAATAGCAGCCAACAAATGTTCACGTAAGTGTCGCAACACTATTCACACTAAAAAGCACCAGATCTCTTCTGATCTATCGATATTTCTTCTCCCCCTTTCCTTTTCTTTATATGCTAAATCTTACATGATGCAAATGATCGAATATATTAATCGTAAGACAAAGAGAAATGGGGGAAGATCAGAGGAAATAACGGAAATATCGTCGGCGTATCGACGGCCGTACGACTTGACAAGTTGAAATTAATTGCATCGCAAGAATGTGTGATCTCGCGGTATGATTACGCGATCGATGCATGAGAGATTACAGGAAGTGAGAGAGAAAGAAAGAGAGAGAGAGAGAGAGAGAGAGAGAGAGAGAAGGAGAGAAAGTATGAGATAGGCGTAACTACAGCGGCTGACAATAAAGAAATCATGAAGAGGAGGATACTCGAAGCTGATCGTATATCTTCTTTCATCCGTACGACCGTCGATCGTAGGGGTGATGCATAGCTTATATAGTGTAATATCACGTGAATATGTTACTGTGTAATATTGTTCTCAAATATTTACACGTATGCGCGCGCACATTTATGGAACCTTTTTTCTGGCCTGATTCGTTGTTAATTCTGTGCCGAGCCACAACACACAGTTCCCTCTCGCTTGGAATAATATATACATATAAATAAAAATAAATATATATATATATAAATAGATATATATATAAATACAGATATAAATAAATATATATATATATAAATAAATGAATATATATACATATATATATATATAAATACATATAAATATATATATATACTTTCGATATATAAGACGAAGAGGCAGTTCAAAGGCAAGACGCGAGAACAAAGAAATTATGACGATTATATTTTATAAATAAAAAAAATTGACATGTGATATAGATGGTAAGGCACGCGAGAATGCGTTGCGATGCATTACGAAAGCAAATGTATTCTGTATATCGTTTCATTAAATCTACTAAAACGATAGACCGACTAGTTTTTCATGTCCTTTCTTCGCATCCCCCTATGTCCATCTTTCTATATCTTTTCTTGCACGTTTACAACAATCCCGCGGTGCATTCAAGAGTTTTTCGTTCAAGGGTAGCTTTTTAAAGCTTTTAACCTACCCTTGTTTCTTCGAAATTGCAAACACCTGGCCACAATTCTTAGCACATCATACCGGTTCTAACAGAACTTAAATATGTAGACGAACAGTGCAAACGAGATATAGATACCGATGCTGTTTTATGTAAAGTTTTATTTATGAATGTTTTCATCGGTGATGACTGAATATCAATAATCGCGAAAAATAATTCTGATCGTTAGCTAATAAATAGAGAAAGAGAGAGAACTCTTTGAAATTTTGACGAATAGCAATATATTAATAATGCAATTTTAAAATTGCGTTCTCACCGATATGCGAGATTATAATATTTTTGAAAAGAATCGCTTTCAGATGTATATCGATCAAGATTTTTATATTTTTATAAGATACGCTTTTTGTATGCAAGCAAAGATATATTCAACTAAGGGAATAACAAATCTAATAATAATAAATTAATAAAAAAATTAAAAAGATTTAATAATCATAAATTAAACTCAAATAAAAACAATGATGATAAAGTGAACAAGCAATAACAATTATGGCTAAGAATTTTTCTGTTAGAGTTTGATATTATTGTATATCTATTTTTTAAATAGATATGCGATTTATTATTATTATAATCATACGAATCATATTCTTTCCTTTTAATTACATTGATAGTGTATGACAATTAAAATATCATTAATATTTTGTTTAAGTAGCAATTATTATGTTCTTAATATTTATAATTTGCGTATTTAATGATACCATGCAGTGATGTAAAATTACGAGATTGGCATATTTCTCTTAACGACAGAGAATTTGGTTTTGTTCGAGTTTCATAGTGAAAATACTGAATATAAAGTAATATATAGGTATACATAATCTGTACTAGGTAGCCACATATCTTTTTAAAGAAATTGCATCGAGTAACGGGGCGGGGGCGGGGGGGGGAAGGGAATCACCGAAAAATTTTCGCTTTATACACGAATAATCACAGTCATTCGTGAAGCAGTAAATTTAAATCTTCAATACTAGACCTCAGCATTAAACCTCAGTTCAACTTTGTACAATAATTATCGTTAAAAAAAATCCACTATTGCATGTATTAAATATTGCATTAAGTATATCACACAACGTTGTCAGGATGTTACATTGAAATTTTTTTAGAAGGCGTACTTTCTAATATTGTCGCAACTCTGCAATGCAATATATAATTTGCAACACTTTTCATCATTTTTCTATCATATATTGATTCGGATATACGCTGTACAGTATATTAGACGGAAAAATTTTAGCAAGAGATAAAAGGGGTTGCATCACTTTTTGCGATAGAGATGACGGAGTAAAGGCAGGGGAAGAATTTTATAATAGATACCTGTGCCAAGTAAAATGACTCGACAATTTTTTTCATTCGGAACACGTTTCGGAACGGATTATAGATACACTCATAGCCAATATAACATCCCGTTTCCGATTCGAGTGCTCCCAAACCCTTCAATCGAGATTATATTCGAGAGTTGTTGCAATGTTTTTGGTATATATACATATACAAGGCAAAAGTTTTACGGACAGATCACTTACCGAACGTTCGTAAATTAACGCGATGCAAAGGAGAATCGGCGATGCACGCAGCGAAAAGTTTACTTCAAACGTCCATCGGAATATCGAAAAACCCACCAACGGTCAGTCCTGCGCAACGGATGCGCGTCCAATGCGATTGCTCGTAGCAGTGCCAGGTGGCGCGCGCGTATCGGCCGGCGCATGCGCGGCATGTCGCCGCGATGAGAAAATAGTTCGCTCTCGCGAAAACACAAATATGACGAATACACCAATGCAGTCGCGGTGAAAAAACCGGGAGAGACGTGACGGCAATTTCGCGTATGGCGACGACGCGTCGATCCGCGCTCGTCGACCGCGGGCCACGTTTCCCGTGTCGACGATAATCGCGGTTCATTCCGGCAGGCGGGCGCGAGAATATCAAAGAGAAACCGGGTATCACTGCGCCGCACGTTGTGTGCGAGGGAAGCGGCGGACTGCGCTGCGCGCGGAGTACAGAGAGTGCGAGCGAGAGGGGCCGACGAGTCGCTCGTGTCGGACTCGGCGGGCGCGAGCGAGACGGACGTAGGCTCGGCCGCCGCGCCGGCCGCGCGCGCCGCGCCAGGCAGGAAGTGGACGACAGGGTGGGGGAACGTCGAAGGCAGTTGAGTCGGTGGTGGCTACATGTGGATATCCGCCGGTCGTGACGAGAGAGAGCCTTCGTGTCGCAGGGAGCTGACGTTTAACTTCCTCGCGTCGTATCGCGGGAGCCGTGACGTACCCACGCCGTAAACGAGAGCAATCCGCCGTTCATCATGCAGATGGATCCGACGACGTTGCAGCTGATACAAGTCCTCGAGAGGACCGTCTCGTCGGGTGAGTGTGTGCGCGTCAGAGTCGCCGCGGCCGTCGTGCAGCGGCGACATCACGGTGGCCGGCGCCCCCGCTTTCCCTCGTCCGCGAGCGTCTCCGTCTGTAATCCCGCCGTGATCGGAAACGCGATTCGCTTGTGCAGCGAACAACGGCGGCGACGGTGGCGGCGGCGGCGGCGGCAGCGATGGCGATGGCGATCCCGAACTGGAGCACGCGGAGAGAAATGATCGGTGGAGGCGACCGCGTGCTGTTCCCCCAGTTCCGGCGAATTCGACGCAACGTGCTCGGCTCGGGGCGGCCGCCGCGCCGCCTCGGCCGATCCCGCGCGCTTTTCCGCCGCCGTCGTCGTCCCGCGGACGAGACCGCGAGCCATTTCGCATGCTGTTACGCGCGATATCGCGCCCCGTCGTGCTGTTGCTAGGCGCTTTGTTCGCCGCCGGAAAAGTATTGTCCCGTGTGACGGTTGCAGACGGTTGCTCATATTCGCGCACCGCACGCATCGGCGCGACACGTCGCAAGAGAGACGCCTCGCGCTCGTCTAACCTTACGGCTTTTTCCATGATTTTTCTGCCGCGACGTTAACGCACTTAAGTTAACTAACGTTAATTGCGCCACGCAATTGTAATATGCCCATGTCGCATTTTCAGACAAAAATGAGCTCGTGGCAGCGCAGACTTTTCTGCAGCAGGCGGCCGAAACCAATCTCGTGAGTAATCTCGCCCCACTATGGGATTTTTATTATTATCATCATTGGTGCGAGGAGTGATGTTCAGGTGCAATATTCAATGGTATGTCTGTTTCAGCATGAATTCGTGCAACGACTCAGCGCCGTGCTGGTCACAGTCGGCGCGAGCCCCGTCGCCCGCATGGCTGCGGGTCTCCAGCTCAAAAACCAACTTACCTCCAAGGATCCTGACATGAAGTTCCAGTACCAGCAACGCTGGCTAACTATTCCCGTTGAGACGAGGGAATATATCAAGAAAAATGTAAGAAAATGTTATATTTACCGCATTTTCTCATTAACATTTAATAATTATCCAATTTTATGTAGAGGCGATGTTCCTTCTTCTATTGAACATTATAAACATATATATTACTCCAATTGAATGCAAAGGAGAAATGTTTTTATTTTATCGTTTTTATCTTTACTTTTACTCTCGATCTTATTTTTTTTTATATATCTTATCTCTTCTGTTTAAGATAACATCTTAAAATAAAGAATTTTGTTTAATAACAATAACAGTTTGATTCTCAGAAAGTAAAATTCCAAAATGGAAATTTTGAATAAACGATAGCAATAATTATAAAAATTTATTACTAGATAATATTTTTTAGGGAAATTCTAAGTATATTAGACAATTATTTTTTTTTTCATATAAAGAGATATATTTGTTTTTGCAGATTTTAGGAGCTTTGGGAACGGAAAACAATAGGCCAAGTTCTGCGGCACAGTGTGTCGCTTATGTTGCTGTTGCCGAGTTGGCAGTGGGGCAGTGGAGCGAATTAATTCCATTGTTAGTCAATAATGTTGTCAACCCGTCCAGTACCGAGATGATGAAGGAGGCTACTCTAGAGACTATCGGATATATCTGCCAAGAGATTGAAAGCGAAGTGCTGGTGTCACAATCAAACGAGATCCTTACAGCTATCATTCACGGTATGAAGGGTTCCAGTACGTCGAATCACGTTCGACTAGCGGCTACAAGCGCCCTGTACAATTCCTTGGAATTCACCAAAGGAAACTTTGAGAAAGAGGTTAGTATTAACCTGACGCCAATATTATTTTCGTATATAACTACGATACAATTTATGCAATAAACAACTAATGCTTTGACCTTTTAATCCTATATATAGACGGAACGAAACTTTATAATGGAAGTTGTATGCGAAGCCACTCAGTCTACCAATACTCAAATCAGAGTGGCTGCGTTACAGTGTCTTGTGAAAATTATGTCACTGTATTACCAATATATGGAACCATATATGGCTCCAGCACTGTTTCCTGTAAGTATCATTTGGATCGTCGTATCAAAAATATATATTGCATAACTACATGAATATTGCGGTACTAATTGTAAGTATACTTACTAAATGTGTTGCATATCTTAATGGAATTTTGATTACAGATTACGTTAGAAGCTATGAAGTCGGAAATTGACGAAGTAGCACTACAAGGAATAGAATTCTGGTCGAACGTATCCGACGAGGAAGTGGACTTGTCAATGGAAGAAGGAGAAGCATCGGAAGGAGGTCGTCTGCCGTTGAAAGTTTCACGGCACTATGCTAAGGGTGCTTTACAATACTTGGTACCGGTGTTGATGAAAAAACTAACTAAGCAAGAAGAATTTGATGATGAGGATGACTGGAATCCTTCGAAGGCTGCTGGAGTTTGCTTGATGTTGCTGTCGTCCTGCTGCGAGGAAGCCATTGTTCCATTCGTTCTTCCCTTCGTCAAGGATAATATTAAGAGCCCCGATTGGAGGTACAGAGATGCGGCTCTGATGGCGTTCGGCTCGATTCTCGGTGGTTTAGAGCCTGCCACATTGAAACCGTTAGTGGAACAAGCCATGCCCACTCTCATCGAGCTGATGTACGATAGCAGCGTAGTCGTCCGCGACACCGCCGCGTGGACGTTCGGTCGCATATGCGAGATGATACCAGACGCCGCAATCAACGAAACCTATCTCAAGCCACTGCTGGAGTCTCTGGTGAATGGATTGAAGGCGGAACCGCGAGTCGCTGCCAATGTATGCTGGGCATTTACAGGATTAGCGGAGGCGAGCTACGAGTCTGCTGAGGCGAGCGAAGACGGAAATCAGCCAGAAACGTATTGCATGTCACAATATTTCGATTTTATCATTCAACGACTTTTGGAGACTACCGATCGACCAGATGGGGCTCAGGCGAATTTGAGATCCGCCGCCTATGAAGCTCTCATGGAGATGGTGAAGAACTCGCCGCGCGACTGTTACGTAACCGTGCAGAAAACTACGATGGTGATACTCGAGCGGTTGCAACAGGTATTGCAGATGGAGTCACACATACAGAGTCATTCGGATCGCGCCCAGTACAACGACTTGCAGTCGCTGCTTTGTGCGACATTGCAGTCCGTCTTGCGTAAGGTCACCGCGGAGGACGCCCCGCAGATATCCGACGTGATAATGACCGCTCTGCTTGCTATGTTCAGCTCAAACTCCTGCAAATCAGGTGGTGTACAGGAGGACGCGCTCATGGCTGTCTCGACCCTGGTTGAAGTGTTGGGCGAAGGTTTCTTGAAGTACATGGAGGCGTTCAAGCCTTATCTCTGTCTCGGCTTGAAGAACTATGCTGAGTATCAGGTGTGCTGCGCAGCGGTCGGTCTCACCGGTGATATCTGCCGTGCACTCAAGAACAAGATGCTTCCTTATTGCGACGAAATTATGACTCTGTTGTTGGAAAACCTCAGCAATAACGCCGTTCATCGTTCGGTTAAACCACAGATCTTTTCGGCCTTCGGTGACATCGCCATGAGTATCGGGCCGGAGTTCAAGAAATATCTGGACGTTGTGTTGCAGACGTTGGTACAGGCGTCGCAGGCCAACGTAGACAGAAGCGATTACGATATGATCGATTATCTGAACGAGTTGCGCGAGGGCGTGCTCGAAGCTTACACCGGCATAGTTCAGGGTCTCCGCGGCGATGCGAATAACTGTCCGGACGTCGCCATTTCTCTCATCGAGCCGCACGTGCCGTTTATTATACAATTCATCACTTCGATAGCGCAGGACCGCGAACATTCCGAGGGTAATGTGTCAGCCGCGGTAGGCCTGCTGGGCGATCTCGTCATGGTATTCGGAGTTAAGCTGCTGCCCATGGTGGAGACCGAGCCGCTCAATGATTTGCTGGTCAAGGGAAAGAAGTCGCGCACTCACAAAACTAAACAACTGGCGAGTTGGGCTGCGAAAGAGATTCGGAAGCTCAAGACTGCTGCCAACGCTACGTCCAGTTGGTGAGTACCTTTTCATTATATTCTCTTGTTTAAGCGTCGTGCCTGACTTAATTAATTCGCAGAGTTATCGATGCGATTTGACCTCACTTTAATCGACGCGCGTTGCACTGACACTGCAATTTATTTTGAGTTTGTATCCCGTTAAAGGGATGAGAATTTATCTTCTCGTTATTTTTGTTGCTTTTCTTGCGCTTTTCCGCACTCCGCCTTTATCATGCATATTCGATTACTGTATCATCGTATGTTCTTTGGTGTTGTTAAGTTTAACTGGCGAGCTTTTCATAGCAAGGATAGGATGTAGTTAGGATAGAATTGTTAGAGGAAATAGAGAAGGGGGAGGGCGGAAGATAGTGAGTGAAAGAGAGAGAGAAAGAGAGAGCGCACGTGAGCATTGAAGAATTACTTCAATGTCGATAGGAATGCACTACCTTCTGTGTCGTAGCGTTGTTTTCTATCCTTCGAACTCCCCGCGTACGCGATTTGAAACGTCTGCCCGAAACTCCCCCTCTCCGAAAAAAAAAAACGAGCACGGATGAGCGACGGTGACTGATATTTGGCTCGCTTTTGTTGTTTACAGATCACCCCACGGTTGTACTGTCGTGCAATTTGATTTGACTAGAAAGCTATCAAACACAATACAAAGACAACAAGATTGGATGGTGCGGATGCGAGTTGATGGATGTGCGTGAGTTCCGAAGCGATGATGACGAGATGAGGTGATGAGTCTGCACGTGTCCCTATCTGGCGATGGTATTTTATTGATATAATTATCGGTGTCGTGCGCAGCCCATATAATCCGAGAGAAAGGGATTTTAGTGAGAAAGCGAGAGCGAGAGAAAGCGAGAATGAGAGAAAGAGAGAGAGAGAGAAAGAGCGCGCACGAGACAATGAGAGAACCAAAAAAAAAAAAGAAAAAACAAATACCTGTCTGCCGGATGCCGACAACGGATGATGAGGAGTGCAAGTGGATGTTGCCGATGAATGAATCAAGGTCAAAGTCTACCAAGAAGAGAAAGAGAGATGTTTCTGGTTGCAAGTATGCCTGGGTACAAACGAGCCTGTGGCTTTTATCCGCGTGATTGAGAGATAAAACCCAAGAAGAGAGAGAGAGAGTGAGAGAAAGAGGATGACTTCGATGAACGATTATTGTGAGAGAGATGACCGGAAGATGTGAGAGAGCGCGACAGGAACACCAAGCGGTGGATGGAGAATGTTACGTACATAGTGAGGGAGAGTGAGAGTAAGAGACTCAGGGAGAATTTCCGAAATAAAGTGATAGCATGTTAGATATGTGAGAGTGTGAATGAAAAATATAGTAAAATGTATGATGTAATTATGCGCGTGTGCATATGCCTATATGTATGTATGTATGTATGTATGTATGTGTGTGGGTATGAAAGAGAAAAAACGAGAGTCTTTTATTTACAGTGACTCGCCGTTGACTCGTTGTAAAGCTCGCACCGAGCTTCTCAACGACGTGCATTAAATTTTTGAATCGCGATTTTTAGCTGTCGTTGCTTAGAATCGTGCCGAATTTACCTGCGTAAGAAAGGGTATCGGCTTTCCTATGCAACTTGCGAAACTTGAATGGGTAACGAAGGAAAAAAGAGAGAATGAGAGTGAGAGAGAGAAAGAGAGAGACTGAGTGCGAAAGATCGAGAAGATTACAGAATTTTCAATTGAGTGACTCTTGATCCGATCATGCTGCGCGAGAATCCGTTGTGTGATGAGAGATGTGTTACTTTTTCCCCGTACGTGAATGTCTGTTGCTGTTGATTGGATAATTAAAGTTAATATTTTGATGGCACAAATGATTTCGTTGTACCGAAGTCCTCGTCCGGCCTGAACGTCCGTAGGAGCAAATGATCTCGAATGCTCAAGAACAATCCCCTAAATTTCCTCTAAACTCTCTTCCTCCTTATATCCCACCTCGATATCGTGTAAGTCCTTTTTAGTAGCCGGTCGAGTATTCCCGCGCGATCACGGTACACACGAGTGGTGTCGCAGACGAGGAGTTTTTCGCACTGCCATTTGGAACAACGCTGCACGGCTTGTCCAGACACTTTTTTAATCACTAGTTTCTTCCTCTCCCCCTCCCTCCCTTCCCCATCCACCCGTTCGTAAGACGTCTGGACCACTCGAAATCTATCCCGGGTGAGATCGTCTTCCTGACCGTGCGTCACTGTGCAGGAGCGCCCGTCGTTCGCGTTATTTGCTCGACGGGAATGTCTCTTAGCGGATCACTGGGACTGGGGCTGGTACCGTGATCGCGTCTATAAACCGGCCGAGTTCTGTCAAACGGATAATTGACGGATAGCCCAGAGTCGTACAGCCTGGAGAGAAGTAGCCTAGTTGATCTCTTTCGTAGTGATCGAAGCTCGCGGTGAGATCGCGCGCTTCGATTCACGCGAGGTCGCGAAGAACCCCTTCTCCACGTTCGACCGGGATGTCTCAAGTATCCTGCATCTCTACCTCTGTTTACACCGCGTCCTTGATGACGAATAGTCAGTGTCGTGCCGATCGCGAATCATTGTCGCGAGTCTGTTTCGTGGAGTCGCGGGAGCCTCCTCGGCGGATCCTTCATGATCGTCCGCCCGCGATTTTCAGCGACATGTCATAAATAAATAACGTAATACGGAGTTACGTCACGTCGTCGTTGTCGTCGTCGTCGTCGAGAACGTGTCTGCGGTAGTGCCATGCATTCCAAATGCTTTTTTCAACGGATCCTTTTTTTTTTTTTTAATTTGAGTATTTGTAGTGACTTCGCGTTCATATATTCATATATATACATATATATTCTCACTTACACTCCTATCGTGATTTCCTGAGTGCGAGAGGGAGAATAGCGTAGTAGTATAGAAAAATCTCTAGTTTTTCGAATATATCAAACGCGGGGCAAACGTGTTTTGACAAATATCGGCGCGGAGACATGTTATGATTTCGGAAATTTCATCGGCACCGACGAACAATACAATGCAGCAACGCGTAGATTATGTTTCTCGTTGATTTATTTTCATGTCTCCTAAAATTAAAAACTCGTATTCTTAATCGTTCATCGACGAGACCAATGCACTTTTAAAACATGCTCAAACAACTTTATCGATTATTTTGCACACAACACGTGATAACATTAATTAATATATTGTCCTGCATAAATGTTGCCACTGTATTTCGTACCCTGGGTTTTTACGAGAAATATTTTTAGATATCTAACTCGCACAAATTCTAGAAAAATGATCTCTTTTGTTTTTTTTATTGTTTATTTAAGACGTGTGTACGCGTCAATTTATTTTTTTTTTTAATCCACGTATCTAGATTCAGTATTGATGACAATGGTAATGTGTGATGATACTATCTTCGATTGTAAGAATATTGCCAAATTGTAAATAACCAAGTAAGATGCATTTAATCGCCGACTTGAAAACTACCTATCGAGTTAATATCAAAGTTTAATGTGGAAGATATATACATATATATATTGAGATCACTTCTCTAAGAGAAGGTTAAACTATTTTTCTAAGATGAGGTCTTTCATAGATTACGAAATAAAACTTCTTGCGAAAACACAGGAAAACGTTTCAAGTTTGTGGCAATATTTATTCGAATTGCTATGTATATACACATACTCGTATATCTTTTAAAACATTTATGTTGATCGGCTGATTTTCAAAAAATCAAACATTTATCTGTAATATTCTTTTTTCTTTTAATTAATAAACTACCAATTAATATAAAATTTCTGACATCAATCAAGTGATTCTCACGAATACATAAAATATTTCAGCAGTTAAAATTTTTTTTTTTTTTTTTTTTTATGTTTATCAAGAAATTGACTATTCTTGTCGAAATGCAATGCCCTAAATGATGAAATTTCGCCGCAGTTTGCCGTTTTTTTTAACACGATTATCATCGACGGCGGTTAATTATTGATCGCAATCAATAACGAGTCCTATGATCGCGATAGACTTGGTAAAGAGACGCGACTATATTCTTTTCTTTTATACACATTCCACTTAGTAGAGATAGAGAGAAAGAGAGAGTGAGAGTGAGAGAAAAAAAAAGAAAGAATGGGAATGAGTGCCACAACGGAGAGGACAGCGGTGCGCGTCTTTCCGTATCTTGCAAAGAACTCGATCGCTCGCCTATTCTTTTGATTCGCAATCGAGAATTTGCAATTTCTGTGTGTGACGGTCGCCGGAATTCGCAGCGTTCCGATTTTGGTGCCGAGATTGATCGTTCCCTTAAAATTAATCTGGTGCTAAATCGTAATGATGATTCTGAGAATCAGTCGTGTTATTAATATTGATTAATTGTGCATCAATGTACATATCTAGAATTTTATAATCATTAACAAAGAAATCACGTTATGATCTCGAAATATAGTTTAATCTACATAGCTTTTTTTTATTAATTTTTTTATTATTAACTTATATATATGTAACAAAAATTGCTTTAAATTTAAAATATTTGGAAAAAAATTGAACAATTTAATTTGTTGAACAATATAAGACAATTTTATAAGATAGAAATTCTCTTTAAAGTTCATAAATTATTGTCATTTAAATATTCAAGAGTTAAAAATGTCTGATTAAATTTGTTATTTTGAGAGTTATTAAAAGCTAGAAATATATATTAAGCGAGTAATTATTACTCTTATCAATATTTTAAAAGTTTTACTGTATTTATTTATTATAATACTTAATTGTGAGTTTGTTTTGAAAAAGATCATCTCGATTTTTGCCTGAAATCGCCGCGAATTGCGTCACCGGATTCGCCAATAAGGGGAAAAAGGCAGAAGAGAGAAAGTCAGAATAAAGCGTGAAATCGAACGGGTGAATTAGAGATTTGTGTTGCAAGAGCGAGAGAGAGAGAAAGAGAGAGAGAGAGCGTAGGAGGCGAAGCGACGAGAGATACAAAGTGACAAAAGATACAAAAATACAAAAAAAGAAAAATAATAGATATATATGTGACTGTGATTTTCGGAGAGAGACTCGTGTGCGAGGAGTCGAACGTTCTACCCTGAACGGAAGCACGGTCCTCGCGACCTTTCGCGATCCTTTCGTCGATCGCAGAGACGAAACTCTGGCGGACGATCCTGATCCTAGCATATCCTACGATCGAAGCTCTTCTCTTTCCCCTCTACCTCGACAACCTGATCGAGCCTGAAACGCACATGTCGGGATCGTGGCCAGAGGGAAACTCGCTCTCGAGTACCGTGCTTCATCAGACTGGCTTCGTAACGTGTACATCCTCGTCGGATAATTAATCCTTTATCCCGTAGACTAGACATTTCTCAACCAAACCCTATATCTTTTTGTCGGACGAATTAATTATCCTTGTGTAACAGAGCTTCGGATGATCCGTGAAACGAGAGAAGTCTATATATTCCAAAAATTCGTATGCCAAAGATTTCTTCAAAGTGATAGGAGATTAACACACGCGAGAGGTGTTGGTCGACGACGTGAAAAGAAAAAAAAAAAATTGCCGGACTCCGACGCCGCTCTGTGAGGAGATTACTGTAGACCGTATAAGTCATCGGTAAAAGTTCGCGCGAAGCCTACTACGTTCTTTATAGCCTTTTACCGCCATAATGACGTCTTCGTGACGATCCCGAGGAAGCGACGTAACACGTCCTTGCGGCGGAAGGCTCTCGATGCGTGACGAGAGACGGGGATTTCTCGCCGGCATGCGAAGCCAGCCTGAGGGGGAACTTGTAATAGCACGACAAAGCGACTTATCTTGTCGACTAATTAGTTGTTTAGCCTTTTCATCGTCGAGACTCCTAGAGTGCGTGCGATGCTTACTAGAGCGAACGTACGTGATATGAGCGTATTTTACGTAGTATATTTAAAAGAGTCGTGTGCATATTACGCTGTATCAGTGATGATGTGCGCTGTGAAGTAAGTAAGGAAGTTTACCAGGGATGCGTCGATGATGATTGATGGAGCGGATCGGAGAGAGAAGATGGTGGTGATGATGATAATAATGATGCTGCAGATGTTGATGTTGATGTTGATGTTGAGGATGATAATAATGATGAGGATGTTGATGATAATGTGGGTTGGCTCGTGATTCGTCGTGAATCGCGGCGTCACGTTCGAGAAGAGAGAACGGATCGTCGATGCATGGAGAAACAGAAGGCCAAGCAAATATGTAAAAGTAAATATAAATTTTGTATCGTGAGGCGGGCCGAATCGCGCCGCCTGCCAGCCTGCGGGATCGACGGAAAATTTCCTGGGGAGAAACGTGTGTGATCTCTATATTAGATCTTCTAAAGCTAATATACTGATGTATTTTTGGATCCAAAAATTCTAATGGAGTATTTAAAAAAAAGATGCTAATGCGAAGAGAAAGATCGACCGTACATTTTTCATCTTTCTCTTCGCCTTGACTGCCTTGACGAATCTAGTATACCTTTTCTTTTAAAGTACATTTTTAAAGGGGTTTTTTTAAAAAATTAAGATCACCCAAAACTAATTTACAACTAAAAGCAATATTGCTAAATTGCAATATTGCTATTCTTCGAAGTTTTCAGGTGATCCCACGGGCTCGCGAGCGTTCTCGCGACTCGCCTTCCGCCTGCGGTGTCCTTGTACGTACGAGACAATATTTTCGATAATATTTTTTAACGATCGAGTCGCGAAACACGAGCCCAACGCGTAGATCTGTTGTTCGATGCTTGAAACCGCGCGGCGGTGGCGACGAGTGTATCGCAGGAGAGTAGAGGCGAGCATTCCTATTTTTTTTCCCCCTTCATTGTTCTCGGCGATATTGCCGAAGGAGAGTATTCTACCTGAAGAATCGATTGTATACGTTAAATTGCAGAAATTGCGATTGAAGTCCTTTCATTGCAACGCAAGCGAACGCCACTTCCGAAAAGAATTCTCGATGCTGCATGCCGTCAATTAAGAATCACGTGTTCCATAGTAATTAATTGTTACATATTTTACCGAATGAAAAATTCCAATAGTGCAGTAGCATTAAAGGAAACCATTCTGTCGTGAATATAGATAGAATTCGGGGGGGATCTCTCGTTTCCGCGAAATCGCCGCGATACCGGCATCGTCTCGTTATGAACGACCTCGCCGAAACTCCCTGCGATCCGCAACACTTTCCGGGATGGGATGCCGTGAGCGACGCCACCGTCGCGATGAAGTGGGCGAACTAATTAAAAAAAAAAGTAAAAAAAAAATACAAAAAAAGCTGCGTGCGTGGATGACGTCTGGTGCGCTGCGCGAAAGAGTGCCCGAGTGCTGCTGCCGATCGAGAGGAGCGATCAGATCGTGCTAATTATAATTGACGCGTGGTGGGAAGAAAATGTGTTTCTGGGCGACCTATATATGCGTGGGTGAAGCGAGAGAAGAGAATAAAGGGGACGATTCTGGATGTGGACGTCCGCCTGCCGTCGTTGCTCCACCCTCTCCTCCAAGCAATCTCCTGGCACTCGATCCGCCGATCTTCGTAGGACGAGGCCTCCTTTTCGTGCCGCTACACAAGAGCGCCGATTTGGCGCGACGAGAGCAAAAAAAATCACGGCCTACTCTCGCAAATGCGAGGGGACAATCTTAATCGCCAATTTTTCGGACGGCGTGACTCTTCGCGGATCGGACGTAATCATTGACATTTGCTCAACTCGATGCCCCCTTTTGCGTCTGCGATCGGTATCGAGCTAAGGGAAAAAACACCAAATTTGTTCGCGGCTCGCGGACATCTAACTTTCCGACGGATGAATAATTTTAAAAAAGGAAATTACGCTATTTCGAGAAAATGTGATGTTACAGGAGAGATTTTATTTTCCATATTTAAAGGGGAAATTTTTTCACGAGAGGGAGAACGTAAAGTTGTCGGATTTAGTGTACCGTGAGTTTACATGATCGACCGACTGCCACGTTAATTAAATGTTATATATATTACGACGTAAAGTCATTTTTGTCGCAGATATTCTTGCGACGGCACAGCATGGCAATCAACGTTATATAGGCTAGCAATTAGATGTTTGGATATCGCGTGATTTGGATCTGGGTAAAATGAATACAGAGATTAAAATTTCAACGAAAAGATCCATCAACATCTCAAACTGTACGGAGCATTTACTCGGGAATTCCATTTAACGTCAAGTGAATCTCTTCTAGAGAGCCAAGTGAATGAAGAAAATTTCTTTAAATTACAGATTTTAAATTTAAATTTTAGCACAATTCACAGTTTGGCCTATAATTTCGCAATTGGCAATATATAGGATAGTTCAAAGTTGCCGTCTACTCCATCTAAATTTTGGATTCGTGCAACCAAAGTGTTCTGTCTTTTCGAAGGATCTCTTTCATCTACAAAAATATCAAAATCTATACTATTTCTTACGTAGTTGTTGACCTATCGGCGTGTCCGAAAATTAGAAGAGTGGACGATCCAAAGCATTATATAACCCGATCTTTAAAGAATACGGCGTGTTCCTTCTTCTTTCACTTGCTTCCTATATGATTGTGAGCTCTGCTCCTGACGGTCGCGGGGAGCTAATTGGACTTCACAAGAGGGAGAGGGTGTGGGCATGTTCACGCGGTGCGAGAGCTGAATGCACCGCGTTATCGTTTTATTTCCTACTTCGGTTCGAGTCAGTCGTGTGGTGCTTGCGAGGATTGTGTTTCCTGTGGTGATTTATAATTGACAACGACAATGTGACTTCGGCTACATCGCTTACGTGAGTGCCAGAGCGATCGTGGAATGACTGGGGGACGATTCTTCGGGAAGTGTGTCTAGCGTATAATTGGTCACATTAATGATCGCACATGATTAAAGCGGGTCCCGCGAGGCCCCATACGACACACGTGGAGAAATATCGCGGCGCAATATCGTGACTCTTCGCGAAAACGCGAAGACGTTCTCTTTTCGGCGATCTCGCGATCGGTCCTCGATGCATCGTCCACGTTGCATCGCACAGGAACAATTCGATTTGCATATCACAATTAAGACATTAATGTGGCTGACTGTACCGATGAGTGCAAGAGACAAGATTATACGAATCGCCAAGCGACAGTGCCATATAATATCGAGTCATTTCGACTGCTGTTTTTCTTCACCGATTTAATTTGCCTTTCTTCGGAGATAGACGAGCGAGCTTCGAAACGCGGTAGAAGCGCTCGCGCGTCGGGAATGCGAAGTATCGAGAAAAACGAAATGAGATTCCAATTGGCACAAATTGCGAATTGCTTCCTAAATTTTATTTCATGGTTTTCTTTCCTCTCACGAAAAAAAAAAAAAACATGATGGCCCGAAAATAAATTCCATTTGAAATCTATATACACGCGATGTGATGCCATTATTACCACACAGTCGTCGTTCAAATACATCAAGCACAGCCAATATGTGTCACCGCCTTTTCTCAAACATCTCAGTTTTATACCCATTATATGTTTTTTCCTTTTCGTCCGCGAGAGAATTTTTGGAGAAATTAAAATTTTATTTCTTCATCTTACGACTATTTCCCATAGGTTCCGTAAGTATCGTCGCCTCAGATTATTTATGTTCTTACGCTCGCCAGAGAATTCAGAGTGTTTTCCAATTAAATAATTCAAGAATCTTTTTCATCGGAATGAAAAATTCACGATGGAACTTTCAAACGAAAATTGCGTCTATCCAGATGGAGTGGGGATGAAGAGAACGCCGCATCGTGCGTTCGTAACAGCATGTGCGTGTCAGCGTTACTCTTAATCTTTTCTAAGTACCTTTAATCTAATTGAATTACAAGAGCACCCCCCGCGTCACAGATTAACCATCCATCCGTCGCATTTCCAATACCTTCTTTCGAATAGTGCAAACGTGCGCGTGCAGCTGGTCAAGCTGTCAGTGTTATTTGCGATAAATCATGGATATCGCATTTTTCTAACTGAGAAAAATTTGCGCGACACTTAATATATATCTGATGCGTCGGCCGCGTTACGCAAAAGAAGCACGTTTGCAATTGTGTTTCACAGTTCTCGCAAATCATTCGTCATCTGATCTATGTTTATTGTGAATCTTGATTATGGAGAACTAATTATATATTTTTTAAATCTTTTTTAAAAAATTAAAACGTCATATATCTTTCTTCGTATCTTTTGAATATTAAACGTGGAAACTGGAAAAAAAAGATTACGATATATTTTAGATACTTATGAGCTCGCTAAAAAAAATTGCAAAAAAATACCATATATTAAACTCGACAACTGAAGAATACTCGAACTCACTAGTGTTCTTGTATTTTGGACCCGTGTCCTGTTAATAGAAGTCGCAGCGCGGCGAATCGCCGTCGGTGCTGAAATCATTGAGGTGCATGGTGCACTTTTGTGAATCCACGAGAAAGCGAAGTCACACTTGCGCTTTTATTACGGAGGGAGAGACGATGCAGCGTGCTTCGCATCGGTCGAATCATCCACGGATGGAGGCTAATGCATGTCACGTGACGCCTTTGTAAGGTATCATCGGGGCTTTCGGTAACGTGGGACGAGATCGAAGTCACCGAAATGGAGCGACAGGACGATAGTGGCTCGACGCAGACCGATAATGCCAGGGTCGCGAAGGATAATGTAAGTATTATTTTTTTTTGTGCCGACTGTGCTCTTCCTCAAAAGATATAGTCTTTTGCGTCACTTATTTCACGATCACGGGCCGACTTTACGGAAGCGAAAATTGATATTGAGGATAGCGTTAAATTGATTAACTCTTCGCTCGCTAATTATCGAATCGCTGATAACGCCAAGCTTATTGACATACTTTCGTAATCGCGTTGGCACACGATTGAAATCACGTTTCGTGAAGCGTGGTTTAGAGTAATTTTGCAATCTCTGAAGCGAATCTAGGTAAAGGCGAAGAGTTTCAGCGGGCACCAACGTTTTATTAGAGGAAAGTCGCCGATACTGATCTAGGTTTCCTATAAAAACACATCTCTCGGAAACTAAACGTTATATTTTATTAATTTTGATAAAAACATGATCTGTTTAAATAATTAAAGAGGTAAAAACAAATATAATTAATTTATTTGTGATTTATTTTCACATAAAATCAGCTAAAAATAAATTCTACAAATGTGAAAATAACACTTACGATTTTCTTTTGCAAATTTTTGTGTAGTTTAAATAATACTAGATATTGTATTATACTGGTTATTATTAGTATTAGATTGTTTTACATATTTGTAGTTTTTCCTAAAACTGATTTATTTATATTTTTCTTTTTCTTATTTTTGTCGACTCATTTTACTAGACGCTCATTTTTGCTTATTTTAAATGTTAAATATTTCAAAATTCCAAACAGTATTATAAAAAACTGCTATATTATCTGATAGAAGATAATATTCTAATTTGTATTTATGTTTTCAAAGTTTTATTTTTAGCTTCTGTTTAAGAAATATCCAAAAACAAAGTATGAGAGATGGTATTGGCGATCTTTTCCTATTATTTTTTAGTTTGCTTCACTGTAATTTAAATCACAGATTTCTGGAGGCATCTTGATTGCGATTACATCTTAACGAAAATAGAGAGATATAATTAACTCATATATTTAATTCATATAATTAATTCATATGTTTTAAAACTGAAAATCTATTCGAAAATTAAACTTAACGAACAAATGACAACGATCGGATCTTAAATATTTCTCGATTTTTTAGTTTTGTTTTTTAATTTCAATAGATCTCCGATTCTTTCAAGATAATGTTAAAAAAAAGTTTAATTATTTCAAAAAAGTTTTAAATGATTCAAAGAATCCATAGCCGGCAATAATAACAGTAGCGATAAAGAATATTCTCTATAATTCTCTATAATTAAAAAGCGCCATTCGATTGCGAATGGCTCCGCAAATGAAATGTCTCGCAGGACGACTTCGATCTCGACGATCTTTTGCCGATTGTTGGCGAGTTTGGTCGTTATCAGAAGCAGTTGCTGTGGCTGGTCTGCTTGCCGGCGTGTTTGCCGTGCGGTTTTTGCGCCTTTAATCAATTATTCATGGCGGACACGCCGTCGCATTGGTGCAAGGTGCCGGGTTTGGAGAACATGGACGTTGCTCGCAGAAGACGTCTCGCCATTCCCGCGAGTCAGGTGCAGTCGATGGTGTGAGAAATCGCGATGCCGATGTCGAACACCTTGTAGATGCGATACTGCTTTCGTAGGTCGATCCACAAAAATGTTGATTATACGTTGATGCGTCATTCTCGTTTCTTCATCTGCGGCTCATCACGCAGTATATCCTCTCATTTAGAGCTAGATATGATAGTTATTATTCTGTTGGTGTATCCCTCTTCTTTCAACATTGCGTTCTCCTCGTAACTTGTCCTCTCTGTACACGTGTAATCCATTTCATTAATTACGACATACGTACGTAATTTAATTACAAATTGAATTGTTTAGTTAGCACTGAGAAACTTGCGCTAGACAGAATAAGCTAATTTATAGTTCACTCTTACCTTGAACTGCGCCAGGAGGAGTTGAGAAAGTCCAATCCTCGTAAACACAACGTTGTATGTAATTTTGTGGCAGCCCAAGTAGAATGCGTTAATCCTAGGGAGCCGAATAGAGACTGCTGTTTGTTTCACGCGATCGGATGTAGTTCGGTAGGATCGATCCCGTCTTACAGTTCGTAGTTAATGCATTATTCATGCGATGGCCTGGCGCTAAAAGATGTCGTGTTAAAGCAGGATGACAACGAGACGTATAGTCAGTGCACGCGATACGATATCGACTGGACGACGATGGAGAATTACTCTGTCGTGACGACGTACTTGCCCGTGCCCAACTCGTCGTGGTCTGTTGTGCCTTGCGATCACGGCTGGGAATACGAAACCTCGGAGATAACGTCGTCTATCGTCGTTGATGTATGTTCGTCCGTCTAATTTTACAGAAAAAAACCAGCTTACAGCTCATCATCTGTCGTTCATTATAGTGAACAAGCCTGAAATTAATTTATGAATTAATAGATTTATTAGCGTAATCAAGTTTTAGAAGTGAATTGAGTTTCGAAAATTTTCATATTTTACGCGGTTTCATTCATTTCATTCAATAGAAAATATGATTATAAATGTACGATTTTTCTATAAGTACACAAGATATTTTATTTGAAAAAAATATTCAAGAATGAAAAAAAATTTAACTAGACACTGCACTACATTAGAAAAAATCATGTTACAGTTTGATCTCGTATGCGATCGCGCGATCTATCCAACAATTGGTTTAGTGGCTCTTAATACAGGAGGCCCTATAGGAGTGTATCTGTTCGGTACATTAAATGACAGGTAAATTAGAGTTGAGTTGAATTTACTTTATTTTGTATTGTATTATACTAGATTTTATTTTATCGAATAGAAAAATGTTCTTTTTTTATATAGCGATGATATATAGCGAAAAATTATCTTTCTTTATATAATAGTTTTATATATAACAAAAGATATACAGCGAAAATTATCTTTCTTTATATATAGCTTTATAAATAGCAATCTATTTATTTTGTTGGGTAGAATCGGTCGGAGGCTATCCTTCTTTACGTGCTTGGCGACATTAATAATTGGCAGCTTTCTAACGGCAATGTCAAGCAATTTTTGGACCTGGGCCTCGACGCGCTTTATCGTTGGTTTAACAATACCAGCGATTTATCAAATACCTTTTATTATATGTAAGCATTTAAATCTTACGATAAATTTCACTGAAATCGATATATCACCCAAGAAATACCAAATAACAATGACGTAAGACTTAATAATCAATTTAATAAAACATATGTTACATAACAATTATATTATTAAGTCTGATGTTGTAACATTGATGATATGTTACCGTTAATTTGTGTTTACTGGACAGTGATCAAAGATTAATTATAGTTTAATATATTAAGATCTCATCTCAACTTCGTCGACACTTAATGTAATTGAATTTCGGATTCAATATAAATTTATTTTAGCCTTGGAGCTGGTCGGGCCAAATTACCGTTCATTCGTAACGGTTATGACTTGCACTTTCTATACGATGGGCCTTTGCATGCTAGCAGGTGTCACCTATCTAATACGCGATTGGCGAACGCTCGCCGTAATCACGAGCGCGCCTTTTCTGATATACTTCTTTTACTGGTGGTGAGTGAACTGTAGATAACGCTGTCATTGAGAATTGTAATGAATGTATTATGAGAGATTGCATAAATTAATAGAGTGCAAACATGTTAATTACATTTTGTAATTGCGATTTGCAATTACAGATTTGTATTTGTAGAATGAGACAATTTTTAAATCGCATTATACGTTAGTGTGAACTGAGTAATTACAAAAATCTTAGGGAATTTATTCAGATCTGATTTACATCCATTAATCAGTTGTCAAATCAATTATCAATTTACATTTATAGAGTTCTTAGATAGAGTTTTGAGATACAATTAAATGAGCGCTTTCTGAAATTCATATCAATGTCTCATGGCGGTACACAGCAAATACAAGAAAAAATTAACGCGTACACTTATCCTTAATGTAAGTGTGTTCAAGCTGAAAATCATTACACGTGCAAAAATTTTAATCAAAAGTTGTAATCATATGGCCGTAAGCAAATTGACCAATCAAAATTGCGGTCTTATGTTTTAGAACGTTTGACTGTGATTAGTCAATATACTTACGGTTCCGATTAAAATTATTTTACGTGTGATGGCTTTGAGATCACATCGTTTTAAAATAATCTTAGCTTGTTTTTTAGCTTATACATATGTAAACATCCAAGACAAAATATGAAAGATTGGAGATTATTATAGGTTCTTACCGGAATCACCGCGGTGGTTGTTAGCAAAAGGTCGCCTAGCCGAGGCTAATGCCATTCTTGAGACTTTGGCCCGCGTGAATGGCAAAGAACTTCCGGCATCGTTCACGCAAAAACTCCGGCATCGTATGACAATGTCGAGGTCAAAGAGCGAGGAGGAGAGATTGCGAACCGGTCCCGGTGTACTTTCACTCTTCAAATCGCCGAATATGCGCCTCAAGACGTGTCTCATCACTTTAAACTGGTAAATCGAAGTACACAAGCGCACTTATTCGTTTTACAGGTCGCATTTTACGAAAGTACATTAAGTTCGCGTATCAATGCGATCCTTGTTGTTTTGCTTGCAGTTTTCTTCTGGATTTTGCTTATCATATTAAGCTAATTTCAGATAATTACTCTTACTTAGAAGAAAGGAATAAATTTGTACTTAATCACGGTTTGTCTGTGAATTTTTAATATCTCACATGGATCGATATTATGAACCTTGATCTTTGTAATCAATAAAATACAAAGATTAATTGATTATATATTGAATGAGATAATTTGCTTCTAATTAGATTTATCTCCTTTCTAATCAGATAAAATACCTTGAAGTACAGAGATAACACAGTACAATTACAAAAGTCAAAGACAATTTACAAAAGTCTCGCTTGATACGGGAATGAATGAATCATTAATTTATTGCGATTAGGTTTGCCAATAATATGGTGTACGTTGGTCTTTCCTACTACGGGCCGGCCTTGGGGAATGAGGAACATTTGAGTTTTCTGTTTTCTTCCCTCGCCGAGATTCCCAGTTACGTCGCTTGTTGGATTGTAATGGATCGATGGGGCCGTCGATGGCCGCTCTGCCTGTGCATGGTCGTGGCTGGAGTGTCGTGCATTGCAACGGTGCTGTTATCGCCCGGTACGCGCTGCTGGTTAATTAATTAATGACTTGATTAATTAACAAGAGTGGCAACATAATCAGTTAATTGTGTAACGTGCCGATATCGCACGTGAGCAATAAAGTTGACCGATTAATAACGTGCGGAATTGTAATCTAGACAGCACACAACAGCAAGCAGACGTCTTATGTATCACTTTTGAGCATGCACGTTATCGGAAATACTAAGAAAAAAGCTACAATGTGTCAGTTTTATAATTGTTACTCTTTTGTGCTTTTCATTCAAGATGCTGTCACGGAGACCTTAATACTATTTCTCATATCAAAGTCTGCGATATCGGCTTCATTTCTAATTATTTACCCCTTCGCCGGGGAACTCTATCCCACGCAGTTACGTGGAGTTGCCATTGGCTTCTCCGCGTACATCAGCGGCCTCGGACTCATCATTATACCCTTCGTAACATATCTCGTGAGTCGGAATTGATGTTTGAATTCTATTTCAATATAATGCTTTCCTATTTCTTCCTGTTATTATTCTCGGCAAGATATATTTTTATATAATTTGCTAATAATTTTTTAACTTTTATGTATTACTTAATTTATTATCTTATTAATTATCAAAGATGAAATATATATATATATATATCTTTGATTATAATCTATATTTTTGCAACGTATCGAATATTTGCGAACATGATTCGCAGGGAAAAGAAAATCTTGTATTGCCTTTAGTCATCTTGGGTGCGATCTCAGTAATTGGTGGCTTATCCGGACTGCGACTACCGGAAACATTGCATCACCGTCTACCACAAACAATTGAGGAAGGAGAATTGTTTGGCAAAGATTGGACATGCGCGGATTGCATCCGTTGCGTTCCAACAAAGTATGCACTTGACAATTAATTGTCAGTTGTTATATATGTATTTTGCGTTTACATCAAAAATTTTGATTTGTCACAAATTTTTTCTTGAATATTCAATTAAATCGAAATAATATATAATAGTAATAATTATGTTAATTTATCGAAAACTAAATGTATGACCCAAAAGTTATATTTTGATAACATGTTTTGTATATCCTTAATCTAACTTCCGTATTTTCTTGTTTTTTCTCCTATGATTGTGGATAGATTTCTTAAAATTTGTATTCTTTAGACCATCATCGATCGCGGCTTCTTACGAGGACTTGTCGATGCGAGATACAGTAGAGATGCAAGAAGTACCCGAATCTCTGCTTGCTTCATCCATTTTGGAAGAACGTCAACGGCCGAGCACGGCAAGCGTTCGCCGTTTGGCTCGTCAATCCAGCATGATGGATACTCAACGTGATTCCGACGGAACTATGAAGATGACTTATTGGTTTTAGTTCTCGTCATTTTAAATCGAACGCAGTTCTAGTCGAAATAAAGTGAAATTTTTTCCTATTTTTTTCTACAATTAAAGTAAATATTTTTTAATAATTTGATTAAATTATGTTCTATCCCTTTATTTGATCTATAAAATATTTGATATATACAAAAGAAAAAATATTTGTGTATATATAAATGAAGAAATAATTTATTCTGTCAAATAAATAAATATATTAATAAAAATATTTTAATAAAAAGCACAAATTATATTTATGACGAATTATCCTCATCCGTATTGTTTTAATCACGAATTCCTTTGATATAAAATACCAAAATAAAATAATATTAAAACTAAAAATCTAATTTAATTTATTATTATTGACAAAAAAAACTGTGAAAGTTCAATTATTCTCGGAATCATATGTATTGAACACATCATATTTTAACTTTTAAACTTTTTATACATACGCGATACAGCGTTTTTAGAAGAGAATAAAGAGAAATAGAACGAACACAGTTGATGTCGTGTCCATGATACAGTTTATTCACATTTGGTATACAAAACACGAGAATAACGAGAAAAATGAGAGTGAGGATTACAGCCTCGAGTACCTTTCCTTGTGCAGATCCCGGGTAAAATTTAAATTTTGCCGCGTAGGTACTTCCTTCCTAATTCGATTCGTCGATTTATAGACGAGTGGTCCTGTTGTAGCAGCTGTAAGCAGGAGGATCACTGTATACAATTATGACGTATAAGATATATTTCGCGGCTACGCTTTCGCGCGCGAGTCGATATACCTCTCCAGAAGTCGCCGCTTCAGCTCGGGCGGGTACGAGACGTAGATGTAATGATCAGGCATGTCCTCGCTCGACAGGGGCAAGTCGTCTCCATGATCGCCCTTCCGTCTGTCTAACCTGCCCTCGTTGTGAATACTCGGATCGTGCAACGGAGAAGTACCCGAGCGATCCGTGCTTCCGTTGTAATCTACACTTCCGCCACCGTCCAGTCTGTCTTCGTCTGCGGTGCTACACGCAACGAAAATATAAAAAAATTAAATTTTTTGTTAACATAATGAACGATGGAAAACGATACGTAGCATCTTAGTAATATTGCCGATAGTTAACATTTTATGTTTTATCGTCTTTATTTCAAGTTATTTGGAAGTTTTAACGGCGAAAAGAAAGTTAATAGTCTTTCTACAATTTTTATATTTTTGAAACATTCTTTTAAACGTACTTTTAATCGCTTTGTATTTATTAAATAAAATTGTGGATCAAAAAAGGTAGTTCGTCGTCTAATATAACAAGCTTATTTCAAAGAAGTTCATTGAATATGTGAATAATAATACTGAATATATAAAAAATTATATAAGTCGTACGATATTTCTTGATTATTTTTTATTCAACACAGACTATTATCTGCAATTTTTAAAAAGAAAAAATATTCTTTAATAATGTAAGACAATCTTCGCCTATTAGGGGCTATTGACGTTTTAACATTTTTACGAAAAAAAATTGTGAAGAGAGAGCTTTTTTTAATTTGACGTACTTGAAGCAAACCCAGATTATGTAATAACATGCGTAAATCGACGAAAACAGGAGCAGTATGAAGACAGTCAGCAGGTACCAAGGTGTGTGACGGTGCGGTCTTTTTGTGTCCTCCCAGTACTTGTCACAGCTGAGATACCAGCAAATCGCACGATTGAGCTCCCCTGTCGATATCATTTACGATCGATGAGGGAACGTCAACGTCATTAAGTTACGGAGTGTGCAAAGAACTTGCGTACCTTCGATCTCTTGGAAATCCCGTACAGAGAGATTAGCGAGTAAGCCGGCGATGCAATCGCGTACGAGTATCTGTTGACGATCGCGTGATAAACGCGATTATTACATATCGTTGGTATTCGCAGACAGGTGTGTCTGCAAGCGTGCTTTGCGTGTTTGTTTCATATTAATATTAAAAAGATCAAAGATCGCGCATTATTCAAATCGCGGCTACTCAATCTTAATTGAATTATCTATATGCCGTGAGAAAATGCATATTACAATGCGATCGAGAGACAATGCGCGAGCTTTCATATATACATATATCATAGTCCTTTTGTTTTTTAATAATATATATTCCAACGAAAATATTTCAAGGCTATATGCTATAACTCAAGGCAATAAAGAGATATCAGGTAAAGTCACAATGACCATGCAGTAACTTCACTTCAACTCGTGGCAACTCACTTCACATTGGGTCTTCAGCTTTTGCAGCTCCTCCGGCTTGCAATTGGATTTCAATTTCCTCAAATGCAACCCTCGCCGTCTCTGTTTTTTGTCGACGGCGGGCAGCGCTGCTTCTACCAGATTCTCCTCATCATCCATGTCCTCCTCGTCCTCCTCCTCCTCCTCTTCATCCTCCTCGCAGTCATTGTTCTTACTGTCCGTTTCGGCGATCTCGTTGTGATAGGACGATCTCGCTAGTCTATGATTGTGCATTTCACCATCGTCGTGGTCGTCGCGACGGCAGTAACGCTGCGAATTCGTCACCGTTCCGTCAGTGACGGTGCAGGACTTGTCTGCAGGATACATGGCGAGGCCGCGCGACTCGCATGGCATGACAGAAGTGCTGCGCCGGTGTTGCTGTTGCTTCTGCTGCTCGGTATTTTCGCGCCACACTTGGATATCGGTGTTTAGGTGACCGCCGTCGTCGTCCACCAAGTTCTCGAAATCGCGGTTGCCCAGCACCTCGCAGCGCATGATGTCGCAGTAGTCCGCTAGGCATATCGCGTCTTCTGCCTGAAAGAAAGAATACTTAGTGCTTGAAGCTTCATCGGTTCCTAATATAGTACACTGAGAAAAAAAATTACTTAAAACAAATAAATATGTTTCAGGTACCCCTCAAAGAAATAATTTTCTTGAAGCAAATAAATTTTTTTTATTTTAAGTAAAAGTGTTTGCACTGAGAAAAAAAATTACTTAAAACAAAAAAATTTTACTTGCTTCAAGAAATTATTTTTTTGAGGGGTACCTGAAACATATTTATTTGTTTTGAGTAATTTTTTTTCTCAGTGTACTAATAAAAAGCTTTGGATTGTTAGTAATCGATGATTAATAAGAATCAAGACTTATGAGTCTTTATCAAGATGCAATCTATGCAGTTATAATTAAGAAGAGAAATAGAATTTTAAACATATAATTGTATAGATACAGTAAAAAATAAAATAATATATACACTATATTTTATCAAATATATTGCTATATACTTATTGTGTTATAATATATATTTTCTGACAAATTTTTGTTCTTATCTACTCCCTCTTTTTAGAATATATACTACAATGATCGAGGGACAATGTGCGATCTTTTATCTTTTATGTTATTGTTACCGTATTAACATTGCTCTTGTGTCTGTTATCGAAGTGGGCATCTAGATGTTTCTCGGCGTAGAAGGACTTCCCGCAAAGCCCGCAGGTCCATTGTGATGGTCTGTGCTGATGCTTTGCCTTTTGTTGTGGCCGAAAAATATCTCGACTCTCGTGGAACGGGCATTCCAATGGCAATTCTACCTGATACTTCTTCAGTATTGGCATCCATCTCTGAAATTTCGACGAGGCTTAAAAAATTACTTTGCGATTCTCATCTCTTTATGACTTTGTAACTCAGCAAACTGTTGTCGAAAACATTGTTATCAGATTTTTGAAAAATGCTTTGTTTCTCAAGTAAAAATATAATTTCTGTATCAAATCGTTTGATTTTTAGAGACATGTTCGCGCATAATTAATTCACCAGATAGTTTTAATTAATAATTTTAATTGATATATTCATCTATCTATCTAACTGATAATACTTTCTCTTACCTTGTGAACTATCCTCCTCACTACAGACGCTCGATCGCGGGGGCATGATATTTTAAAGACGCTGGGACCCGGCCACGGAATCACAGATAGAAGCAACACTGCTAAAACCTAACGATAATGCAACGTTACTTAATCGCTATAAACACGTGTGCATCGACATGTTGTCAACGCGTCTTCCGCAATGCAAAAAGTTAAAAAGGTTTAACTTTGCCGCTCTTTCTCGCTAAAGAGTCGCAAATCATCGATTACCTTTCATAACAAGGCAAATGGAAGAGAGAGCTCCTCACGTTCTATATTTACGTATAGACGCACTCGAACGGCATCAAATGCGTTAATATGTTTTTTTTTGGGGGGCACAACATAGAGAGCTTCCTTATTCACGTGCATGATATTTTAATTAAGGCCGCATTACGATCGACTAATAAATGGCAAACGTCAAAGTGACGCACGAGTGGATGGATCAACCTTATACACTCCGTAACAATATATATGCACACAGAGAAAGAATACTCTTTCTCGAGGCACACATGCATAAGTAATGCAATCGATAAAAACGTCGCCACTCGCTCACGCACGTTATTACCTCTTTTTCACCACTTTTAATCACGGCACGATGAAGCGTGTCGTTTCCTTATCTATGAAGACCCGTGACTCTTCCGATGGGGCAACTTCAATTGCGCCTCACGAATCCCCCGGACACATCGAGCGAGTACGACACGCGATGTACCGCTGAGTAGTATATAGGGGATGATTACCTCGAGGTGAAAGGGTTGGGTCTTCATTCATAGCCCAAATGCTGCGTGCAAGAGTGATCCGGCGCGACGATTACTTTTGCTTCGAGATGATCCTGTCCGTTTCCTGAAAGCGGTCGTTTCTTTGTCAAAGTAGCCGCGGACCGAGGGTGTATGCGGATTGCAACGGGGGAGCACTGCAGGGTCCACGTCGACATGGCCGTCACCCCTTGGGCGCAGGTTTCAAGCATATACAGTGATGTCGCAGTGCCGGCATGTGTAGGTCTAGGGGTAGTTACACAAAATTTTATCACCATCCGATACGTATCAGCAGCTTATTACGAAATCCTCGTGCATTTTATTAATGAAATCACTTTAAACAGCGTGTATATATAGGTTTTCTTCTTTATTTACAATTTTCGTAACGTGTATTTATATGCTATCTCCTTATGCTATAAAACGAATAATTTTCATATAGCATGTAAACAGTGTTTTATAAGAGTTTTGTTAGTGTGAGATTGTTTAAAATCTAAATTTAAAAAACTATTTATAAAATGACAAAATAATATTGTTGGCATAAAAGAATACTGATATACAGATATAATCTTTTAAATTCACTGTATTGTTGTTTAATTTATATAAATTAATTGTAATTATATTTAATATAAATGTATTTGTACTTAGAGAAAAATTTTATATTACATCTTGATCTTTCAATACATATTACTAGAAGGTCTTTCGAGACGCTCCTGCCTAGCGTCATCAGCGTCGGCGTCAGCGTCGATGAAGATGCGCCGACGCATTACCGCTACGATAAGCTTGAAACCAACCAACGCGCAGAAATTGCGAAACAAGCGGTATTATGAAGAACGTATTACTATGCGCAATAAAATATAAAATATTACTTCGAAATTGTATAATAAATTTATACTTATGTTGTTGCAAATTAATTAAGTATTCAACTTTTGGCAGTAATAAAAAAAAGATAAGAGCTTGAGTCACAAATATTACGTATTTTTAAATAAATAATAAAACACTTATCAAAGAAAAATTTATGTGTAACAACATTTACATATATCGACGATAAACCAAGAATTTAACGTAAAATAACAAATAATAATGGCAATGCAATTTGATCAAATTAGCGAAATGTAGTATGAATGAAGAGAGAAAGAGAGAAAGTAAATCAAAAAGAAAAAAAATAGGAAAATACGAAAAAAAGGACAATAGTCCGGTCAACAGCCGAACCGGTTTTCTCGAAACTTTTTCAGTTACCTGAAGATCTCTGGTAGGAGAAGTTGACTAGAGAGCTAAACGACCATCATTTCAGTGCAACACTTCAACGGAAAAGAATGTGACAAGCAGAAGCGTTAAAATTTTTATAATACTAAAATTTTTAAATCAATTAAATTTGACGAGAAAAGATAAAACAATGTTAAGGTAAAACAGTAACTATCACAAAGAATTTTGATATGTGTTCGAGTGATAAAATTGAAGTAAAGAAGTGAAGAAGCACAAAAATTAACAATAAGAAACTGAAAAGAATGCGTGGGTTTTATATTAAAACAACAAATAAATAACACTGAAAATAATAATCACATGCAAATGTACCTAAATAAAAAATATGAAAGTTCTTAAACTATTTTGTATAAGACACAAATACTCGAAATGTTTTATAATATCTTTATAAGAAAATAAAAAATATGAAAGTTCTTAAATTATTTTGTATAAGACACAAATATTCGAAATGTTTTATAATATCTTTGTAAGAAAATCGCGCGTGCGATATTATTGATGTAAATTGTAATATATGCCATATGGTATTATGGTAAATGCAACGTACTCCTCGTTGCGTCAAGTATAACGCTAGATGGCAAGAGGATGAAGTATCTCATAAGTCTTTGATGATCTAATGTGCTTAAAGACAAGGCCAAGCGAAACATGTTTTGTTTTAATTTTCTTGATTGCTTTTTAATAATCAAAATGTCTGAATCTATTTTTGAAATAGCTTCTATTAATAAGATATTATACACATCACGTTCACTATCACGTTTATATGCTATTCGATAAAAATTGAAATATAATTTAATTACTGGAGTAACAATGATCTCTCCTAAATTCTATATCCAGTATTAAATGATATTAGTAATTAAATTAAATTATTTATTTATCTCATTGTGTTTAATAAATAAATAAAATAACATTAATTTTATTGATACTTTAATACCAATTCTCTGGTATCGAGCAGTAGAAGGATCCATAAATGTAAACAATTACATAACTGCTTTTTAGATACGTATTAAATGTATTTATACTTGTTAAACTAATGACTTCGTCAATACTAAGAAATAATTGTACGATAAAAAGAGATGGCTATAAAATATTATAGGTATATTGTTGTATGGTCGTTATTATGATGAAAAGGAATGGTTTTAAAAAATTGTACGTTGTTAAATCGTTACTGTTGCATATCAGATGATATCTTATCACACTAACAATTGAACAAACATTAATGACATAACATTAAATAAACGTGATTTAAAAAATTGTATATTGCACAAGGAATAATATAATTATTTAAGATATATACTAGATTTTAAATTATAAAATTGCGTATATAATCTTACGCGTATACATATATTTGAAGAATTCGTCATTATGCATTGTAAATATACCTTTTAGGTAATTGATTTGTACATGATTAGACGTGTGCGACGTAGACGCTTGTTTACGCATTTTAAAGCAAAACAGTTTTACAATCTTGTCTCATCAAATTATACCATTGTAGACCTTATAAAACATTTACAATTTTGCATCAAATTTTTATTGCATTTATTACATTTTTTAATTTTTATAGGATTAGTTTTATTAAAAATGAAGAATTAACTTTGAAAGTTTTTTTATTGTACCTTTCTGTAAAATTAAATAAATATTACAATTTTCTTTTATTTTTTATACAAATAATGGAATTACAAAAAAAAGAATTAAATGAATATAATTCAAAATTAAAGATTTTATACAAACTGGTTATTACTTTACTTAAAAAATTTTAATGTATTTCTAAGATTTGTTATATGTTAATAAATTTTTTGTATTCTAAGTAAGATGGTATGAGACTTATTCGAAGTTTAATAGACTTTCTTACTATATTTATATCTATTATTTGGCTTTTTACAATATATTTTTTTACGTAATTATAAAATTATTTTGTAATACTGTCACATTATTTCAACTAGTAAAAAACTACATATAGTAAAGCTATAAGTATAAAGAATATCTTGTATAACAAAATTCATTAAGAAGTATCTACTATCTCAGCATATGACTAATAATTTATATATTTCAGTGTATGACTAATATAATAATTGATATATTCTTGATTTCGATGTTATTGACGTTATTATATATATTTATATTATTCTATAATATAATTATATGTATATATATATATATATATATATATTTATTTATTTTGATGTTATTGACGTTCACATTATAAAGCACAACAGACCGGTATTTTCGTTATAATCTTTTTTTCTTCTTGTTTGCCTTTCGTACATCTTTCCAGCATGGCAAGTCGATGGTGGGGGAATCAAACGAAATCGCCTCGACTCAAGTTCAGTTGGTTTGTTGAACAACTCGGCAGTCCGCCAGGGAAACCTGCTACGTAAACGTCGGTGGCCGGACGATCGACGGCGATCTAACTGGCAACCGTTCAATTCTGCGCGAGTTTTTCGTGAAATATTACGCGCGCGCGCGAAAATTGCAAGTTTTCAACACCAGAGCATTCCAACGTCGCGACATTGCACTTCTTGCCAGACATCGCCGAGATATCACCGTCAATGAGATAGCGTTCTAACATCTCTAAAAATAGAGCGGCAAACACGGTTCACAATCTACCAAGTACAGAGAGAAAGGCGACGTAAGAATCTAGATCCATGAAATATCACGTACTTTTGAAAAATATGAATGTAATGATTTTACGTACGATATTTAGCAAATATTAAATATTATCAAAAATGATTCCACATAATAAAAATATGTTATATAAAGAGACAAAATATTTGTTTAATTTGTTTCGAGTTTAAATTAATTATAAATCCTATTTTAAATTTTAAATTGTAAGATTAGGTCGTATTCTTCTCATATGAGAAAGTCTACGTTAAATATTGTATATCATCAATCAGTAGTACTATTTTCTGTCAAGAACATATGTATGATATGTACATATAACGGTGCAGTATTTACGTACAGCGATGTTATGATTTACGTATTTGAACTGACTATAGAGAACTTGAAAACAACATAAATTTAGTTTTGATGAGCGGATAACCAGTGGAATACGTTCTACATACATTGGACTTCTTAATTATGTAAAAACAAGCACAATTCATATAATAATATAATTAGTGAAGTAGAAGCACTATCTAAAACTATTCTGTTCAAAAATTACATATCAACATTATATAAATATTATATATGAATTTATATAAATATTTATATGAATAATATTTCTCTCAACTTTCTTTATCTCAATTTGTGCAGTTTTTTTAATTCAAATTTTTATTTTTGCGAAAATTGCATTAGCAAACATTAGTATAGACTATACTTTTGCAAGCATGTTAATTAGCATTATAACGATACGTATGGAACATACTATGTGATGTAATGTGTGATAATTAATAACAACAGAATATATAATTAATGATGTTAATACAGTATTACACGTATCGATGTGCCATATGATTTTTATCAGAATACGAAAAAAACAGTAAGCGTCGTAAGCTTGAATAAATAATAAATGAACTTCGGCATCATTTTTTCTCATTATTCATTCAATTTACATGTTGAATTGTCGCATGAATATACATGTGCTATGTACGTTTGCGCATACATGCGTACATTTAATTCACTTGACCTTCTATTCTTATACCATTTATCACTATGCAATCATAATAATATTGTTTATCCGCTAAGCTCTATTGGCATTATTGATTGCAGAATAAAACTAACTTCAATTGCGTTTATGAACTTCACTTATAATGTCCAAGTTTAGATAAATCATATCTGATATCTCAAACTATTTTTTTGTATATATAGAGTAACTTCGGTATATATTCCGCACGAGGATTTATGCCGCAGAAGTCAAAAATAGAAGAAGTGAAAGTAATTTTCTCGCCACTATACCTTTATGTTATATTAGTATTGTGTTATGATTTTAATTTTTTACTGTTAATATTTATAAAATTATTGTAAATTAAATTATTTATCACTGTAATAAGTAGCGCAACCATAAGTTACAATATAATCTACATAAAATGATTATTGTAGGAAATATAAAAGGCTTCGTGATTATTTTGTGGTATATAAGTGTAGAGGAAGTGTAAAGAATAGAGTATAGCAAAATACAAGTGCTTAGTTCTTTAGATTATTTGTATACTTTTTGAGTCTTTCATTCCAACCGTGAGTAGCCATATAACCCACCCATATTTTTATACGATAAAAATGCAAGGGTTTAAAGAATTTTTTTAATGTAAAAAATAATAAATTTTTTTTATAGTAATAGACAGTCTAAAGTTTTTACCGGTATAGTTTACCTTAACCATAATTAATAATACCTGATAAATTAAATTTTTAATAGATGCGGCGTATATACCGGAATTACTCTAGTAGTCTTAAGTTAAAAATAGTTCTATGATATCGAAAAAATTATTTCCAATATTATTTGTTTAGCTGCAGTAATAGATAAATATTTCATGCAACAAACATTTTCATAAATAAAATCAATTTTTTATTATAAAATTGTTGTCGTGCTTTAAGTGATTATATTATTCAAATAATTTATTCGATTTATTCGAGACACGTGCGTTTAGTAAAAAAATTATTTTATTATGTTTAAGAAGAATATCATGACTTCCTATATAGCATACACCTCCAAGGGACATCATACACATCCTAAGGATGTGTAGGACGGTCCTTGGATGAAGTGTTTGAGTCAAATGCCGGTTAAAATGTCGGATCAGGAGGTATGTTTCATAGGACATGTAAAATGAAAAGTTAAATTACAAATAAGTGTAATTAAAATTAAAAGAATAATCAAAATATAATTTTTATAAAAAAACTAAATAAATAAGATTTTGTACACAATTACGTTTTTCTTTACATTATATTTTATACAGATATCATAGATACTACAAAAGAATAAATAGATGATATCGCTCCATATCAATGCAATAGCTAGTATTTAATAAATAACATGTAGATAATTATATATATTTATATAAATATTTTTTTTAGACAAGTCGCCTCTCTTCGAATAGATGAAAAATTTTTCATTATTTGAATTTTTGAGAATTTTGAGTTTCTTTATTGACAACGATAACATATCAAGTTACAGACTTTAATCTGACGTTAAAAGCAACTGTTAAAAGCAGCGTTTGAACTTTGAACACTTTATATTTATACATTATCTGATCGATTAAAATTTCGATTGTGCATTGTTGACTTTAATCATTTTTTGATACTTAAGGTGAATCGGCATGTTTATAATTGTTTCGTTGGCCAACTCATGTCAATTTAGTTAACTGTGACCCTGACATTAATGCCTATATCACATAAACGCAAACAATTTCAGCGTTTAAAAACGATAAAGTTAAGAACGAAAAGATAAGTTCACGAAGTGAAGTTTACTTATACTCGTCTAAAATGTTACTATTGCATAAAACAAAATATTACATAAAACATTATATCCGTTATATTAATTTTAAAATATTACATAAAACATTATATCCGTTATATTAATTTTATATAAAACAGTAGCAATATGTATACTCATAGCAGCAATTTTATTATGGGGGGAGTTATATATTCTTTTTATCATATTTTATATTACTTTGTCCTTATACTTTTCTAGGAAACAATTGAAATTTTATTTTAACATTAATAAAATGTTATTTTAATAATAACATTTGTTACTATAATAAAATTTTATTTTAGAATAAACTAAGATCTTGCTCGCAAACATAGCAGATCTCATATTCAATAATATTTTTGTATTAATTTTATAATTTCTAGTTCATACAAACTGCGCGTCAATTATTTGTTGGTCTTGAAACATAGTCCTAAACAGAAGCTGGAGTATGTAATATCAAGTAGTTTAATAGCACACACTGATAAGCAATTTAATAGAACTGATTTAATAGTATTGCTAGTCAGCATCGGTAATGAAAGAAAATTCACCGCTTATTTGTGTTATCTATATCGGTCAATTATCACTTGTAATTTTTTTGTTTTAGTGTTTCAATTTGTTGGAATATTTTGATAAGATTAATGAGGCATTTCTATGAGACTTCTCTATTTAAAAAGAAGGGAGAAAAATATGCTACTTTAATTTCTTAATGCTTTATACGTAAATAGTATAGTAAAAAAGATTGATTTTACACAATTATGTTTTTCTTTATATTATAATTTATGTAGATATCATAGATACAAAAAAAAATGATTTAAAGAATAAATGATATATAAACAAATAATCAATTTCTTGAGTTAAGTAATGCAGTATAATATATTTTTATTTTTGCCTTTTATTGCATGGCGAGAACAGGAGATTTTATTTTAATTTTTTATGATTTTTTAATGATCAGGAAGCCATTAATTACTTATTGTAGTAAATTAAGTTAATTTTGATAAACAAATATGTATAATATATTTATTCGAAACATATTTAAATAAAAATGGAGATGTTTGATCTTGACTTTTGTATTAAATGAGTTTGTTATTGAAATGAATGTATCAGTGTAACGTACAAATGTCACGATGATACTATCGTTAAATAAGCAGATAATAAAAATTTTTATAATTGCGGATACATACGACACTTAGAATATTCATGCATTTCATAGTGTCAATAACTGCGCGGTATTTTTTCGCGCAAATCCATCATCCATTATTCAGTTGCAAAAACTGCACAACTAATTTTTTGCGAAAACATCTACTATTATTTTATATAAATCTTTATATCGTAATATTTTACGTTTATTTTTTTAACAAATATTTTATATTTACGTTTAAATTCTACATTCGTTTATGACATTTATTCCGAAAAAGAAATATGATGTAAATTGTACTTTTTGTATTTCTACATGTGTATTTCTACATGAATATTTAATTAAAAAAACATGCATAATAAAAACTTTATTAACGTATAAAACTTAAAAAATTATCTATTTTTGTATTAGGTAACATTTTTATAATTCTATGTCTTCTAATACATACAATTACCATAATCTGTCTTTATTTTACGATTTTATTTCCAGTCTTGAACTAATAAAATGATTTATTACGCTTGCAGATTACGAACTGTGCAATTAATTGCCGATAAGTTAATACCATTATACGAGCATGGCAACACACGCATTTCGTGGTATTCAGAGGCTGAATCGGGTACTGGATGCAGGAATAAGGACGCTGAACTCCACATTGAGACGTGCATCGACCTCGTCGCAACCCAGAATTGTGACGGGGCCAAATAACGAGAAGATTATTATGCCTGTAGCCGGTGAAGCTTCTTACCCGGAAATCTTGATCCACGAATTCATTTGGAACGATAGCGAGAGTTATCCTAATCACATTGCTTTGGTAATTTTTTTGATCTAATAAATATATCTATTATCTATCGCATAGATCTATCAGATCTACGTATCTATATCTACACTGGGAAAAATAGTTTTACTAATTGTAAGATGGATATGGTTGAATGAATTTTGGTAAAATCAAACAGAATTTCTGATCATAATAATATAGGATTCGACATTTCATAACTAGAACGTTTGATAGACTTTATTTACTACACGGATTTAATTACTAGTTGGATCTGTAAAATTTCTTTTCAGTAGGCGTTATATTCAGTAGACGTCACACAGAAGAGAATAAAACATGCAGCATCATGAGATTTTTCACAATTCCCAAAAGAGAGAAACCGAAAATAAAAGTAACTGAGAGAAAGATTTTGACAGTTTTTAGTTTTGCACCAAAATTATTTCAAGAACTTGATAATTTCTGGAAGTTAAATATTCCATATTAGACATGCTAAAACATGCTAAAATATAAGAGGCTCAACATCCAACAAGAAATTCTACTATATTTAATAGGGAAGAATTATTCGGTCAACAAAAATTCTGGTATATTTGACAGGAAAGATGATGCAACAAAAGTTCTGGTAGATTTAATAGGAAAGAATTAATCATATTCGTCTGGTAAATCCAACAACAATTCGATTTTTGAACAGATATACTGATTGAATATAGATTTCCAATTAATACAACCAGATTTTTTTCCAGTGTGTATCTCTATTAGTTCTATACGATAGATAATCTATTTTGATGTGTAGCGTTTCTAACTAATTGCGTCATTTTTTTTCAAACAGATCAATATAAATTATTTAACAAATTTTAATGTGGGGGGGGGGAGGGAATTGTGCGTGTATGTGGAAATCAAGAATAAACGTTTGCAAAGACGGAAAATATGTGACCAAATGTAAGCGTAATTAGTTAGACCTATATTCGCTAATGGAGAATCTATCTTATGGAGATTGTAGACGCTGTATATTAATTTTATCATACTTTGCAGGAATGCGGTGTAAATGGCAAGAAATACACATTCGCGCAAGCCAAGGATGCGACAAGTTATATCGGTAGAAGTTTGCGGAACATGGGTCTTAAAAAGGGCGATGTGGTAGCATTAGTGGCACCCAATTTGCCGGACACAGTTTTAGGTTTCCTTGGGAGCCAGTCAGGAGGCCTTGTTGTCACTACCGTGAATCCACTGTATACGTCTGGTGAGCTTGATATTTCAAACTATTTTATTTTAATATGTATACTATATATATATATATATATATATATATATATATATATAAACATGATGAAATATTTAAAATAAATGGGCGAATTAAGCGTATTGTTATAATATTGATAGACATGATGAAAATTTTTAGAGGAAATGCAGAGGCAGTTTTTGAAAGCCAAAGTAAAAGCAATCATCACTTCGACCGCAATTGCATCTACAGTGCTCGCTGCAACAAGGGCATGTCTTCCACATGAAACTCCTTTTATTGTAATTGACGATAAGACTGGTTCTACTCCAGAGGGTTCGATACCTTTTGATGTTAGTAATCAATTAAGATAGATATTTCTCAAATAAATGAGCGATATTTAAATGTTACAAATGAAAGTAATTAAACAAAAATAAATATAAAAAAATTTTTCAGGATCTCATAACGCGAGGTAAATCATTGCCACCCGTAAATTCGGACAGAACTTGCGACGATGTAGCGGTTTTGCCATTCTCAAGTGGTACGACTGGATTACCAAAGGGTGTTAAGCTAACACATCGCAATCTGGTGTCTAATATAATGATGGTGACAGCTTCTGTCGACGCATTTCATCCTACTACAAGTACCTTCCATTTTATCCAACAAGTTATGATTTCAATCTTCTTGTTTGAGCTTTCCAAAATTTGTAAAAATTTTGTAAATTAATGTTATATCAATTAGCTTTATATTTGCAAAATCCTTAATTTAAAATTGTTTTCTAGCTTCACGATTTGATATTCATCATATATTAAAATTTCTTAATTTTTTTTCAGGTACATTTCAAGAAATAATACCTACTGTGTTACCATTTTTCCATATTTATGGAATGAATGGTGTGGTATTTCCACGTCTTGCTTCCGGCAACAAGATAATTACCATTCCAAAATTTGTACCGGATCAGTTTCTCAGCGTATTAGAAAAACACAAGGTATTATCGTTTGCCATATTCGAATAAATCTCTTCTTTAGATTTTTCGGTACATTTTTTTATTAAAAATTTCGATTTATTAGGTAGAATGTAAGATGAAGCACGATTGAATATATTCAAATTAATCTAAAACAAAACATCATGCACTTTTTGTGATTTCATATTTTTACAATTTTACATCATCAATTAGAAAATTATGATTTCACTTGTGTATAAAAAAAATTATAAAAGGCTTAAAGCACTAAACTCGCGACATGGCACTTTGTAGGCAACTGTCCTGTTTTGTGTACCACCTATAGTGCTATTTTTAACGGCTTCCCCTCTTGTGAAGAAGCATTATTTCGATCATATGCATATGATGATGAGTGGAGCCGCGCCGCTCGCCAAAACGGACGTCGATAGATTCTACGAGAAATACAACGTTGATCCACAAGTCTTCAAGTTTCATCAAGGTGGGTGTTCGCAAAATCGAGCCGTTGTCGACGCAAAATTCTCGACTCGCGAGCGAACGAGATGTTTATCGAGTTTCGCGAATCGAATTTCCGGGGTCGCGTTTCAACGTGCGCGAGCTTTGAAGGCTCGGATATATTTTTTTTCCCGATGGGGGTAGCAATGTCGAGGAGCAGGAGGAGGAGGAGGGACGAGTTTTGCATTTGTGGGCTTTGCGAGCCCGAACGAACGAACGGCGTATACATTCAATTTTTAACGAGATCCGACGAATCGGCCGCGCAGATTCTGAAATAAAGTTCGTCGTATCGAGAGCGATGTCGTATTAAATTTTACTCTTGTTTGTTTGTTGCACATTCGAGTTTGTGGAAATCGGCAAATTTATTGTGTTTGAAAAAAATGCCAGTGTTAATCGACAGAATCTATTTATTTATTTTTTTCGCAAACAGAGGTTTCACTCAGATATATGTATATTAACTTATTTAACACTTACACGTGTTTATTCAGCAAAATTGTTTTTGGCTCAGAGTTAGTTTGACAAATTACGTGTCAATAATAGGTTGCAAAGTTTGTTAACGTTTTTCGTGTCAGTTTTTAATTTTTTTCGTTCCATCTCGTTGAATCTCACAACTATCATTTTTGTAACTATTTTGAAGATTCCATTTATTCTAATAAAATTCTTTATTAAAACTTTTTATTCTCTCTCTCCTGTCGATATAAATATAAATATAAAATAAATTAAAATATATCGCTAAATATAAAATAAGAGAAAAAGAATCGATAGAATTCAAAATGACAAAATATTTATTTTGATATCAAGTCTAATTATTTAAAATCTTACGATGTTTTTTCAAGGTTACGGATTGACGGAAAGTTCACCAGTGGCGTTTGTCGAACATGGTGAAAAACCTTCTAGCATCGGAAAAAATGTGGCGAGTTGCCATGTACGCCTTGTAGATATAACGACACAGCAGGACGTCAGTACTTCTGGTCAAACCGGCGAATTATGGATCAAAGGGCCTCACATTATGAAAGGATATCTGGATGACGAAGTCGCTACAAAGAATACGTTAACCAAGGATGGATGGCTGAAAACGGGCGATATCGTTTATTTTGATGAAGATTTCGATTTCTATATTACAGACAGATTAAAGGAACTTATCAAAGTCAAAGGATTCCAGGTAACGACTTGTTCTGTTGAGAGAAAAGAGCCTTTTCTTTTTTATTGTAATATGTAACTTGGTATTTTTATTTTTAAATTGAGACATATATTATATTTTTTGCAATGTTGATCGATGTGTGGTATAAGAAAATTCCAATTATATAAATAATCTTTAGAAAATAATTGCTTTATTTATAAGTAAAATTTTCTTCCCAAATGTTATATACCTAATATAGTGTAATTTATTCTTTTTATTAAAATTATAAATTATTTTACAATTTGAACATTATTATTCTATATCACTATAAAAAATATTCAAATCATTTAATTACGTAATTGTGTTATGCAATGATTAGCAGAATTATTTATTTCCGACAAAATTGATCGAGAAATCTTTACATTTCTTTCTTTAATCTCTGATAAGAAATTTTATCACATTAAGACTGATTAAGAAGTTAATTTCAGTTTTGCCATATTATTGGACTTTATATAATTATTCACGTTGCTTGGGGAAATGGATGATAAATAACAGTTGTAATTTATATCTAAAATATCGCTTCAAAGTTTCAAAGTTTTCCGCTGTTTGACGGTACCTCATTTCTCGGTGGCGTTTAAAGTGACCGCCTTTTCCCTTAATTTAAAACGTTATTTTCGCCTGGTCGAAGGTACCGCCGGCGGAACTGGAAGCGTTGCTGCGAACGCATCCCGACGTGGAGGAAGCGGCAGTGATTGGTATTCCGCACGCGAGGCATGGCGAGGTACCGAAGGCATTCATAGTGGCGAGCAAGGGTAAGAAACCCACGGAGGACGACATTAAGAACTTTGTGAAAGGGAAGGTCTCCGACTACAAGCGACTGGAAGGTATAACTTGATTCAAGTTTTACAAAATCGCGGAAATTTCTAATTGCCGCGCAATCAGTTTAATTTAATTAGCATATCGATATAGTGGTTGTGTCGCGACCTTTAGAATAATTATTATCCAGACATCCGAATAATTGCAAATATTTAGAGAAATGACCAATTTTGTTATGTAATTCGATTAAAATGTAGGTCTAAGAATTCAGAGATAGAGAGAAATGGATAGCTAAGAAAGCTTTATCAGGAAAGTTCAAGAAAAGATATACTTTTTCTCTTTTTCTCAGGTGGAGTCACATTCGTTGATGACATTCCGAAGAATGCAAGCGGAAAAATTCTAAGATCGAAGTTGAAGCAAACCTATAAGTCTTAACGTTGTCAAAGTCATATCTTTTTGATAAAAAGATATTTTTTTAAATAAGATTAATAATAAAAAATTTAAAAGTTTTGCACATATAAACGAACGTAGGTGAAATGTAATTTTCCATGGGTGTATATCATTATTACGTGTACAGTGTTTTTTCCATAAAACTGTAAATCTTTGATATAAATATGTACATAATATATATTTATATGTACAAATTATCTTTTGCAGTCTATCAAAAACGGAACGTAATGTTAAAAGACATTTATATAATTTAAAAAAACAAACATAAATAAATTTTATTTTTTCAAAAAGAAATAATTAAATGTAAAACATTTTCACAATTATTTTTAATTGACATTAAACATAATTAAAAACAATTAGAAATAACTAGAAAATTAATATGTACAAAATTTTTTCTATTTTTGATAGACTCAACTGTGTATATGTACACAAATATTAGATAATATTATATCTTACAAAAATATAATATTATATCTTAACAGAATGCGATAGAATTATATTTTTATAAATTTGTATTTCTCGTTATTCTTGTTAAATCTATTATATCATATACATATGTTACATTAAAAGTGCTAAGAGGTTTATAGGTTTTCTCCGTGTTTTGATTCATTATTAATGTCAACGTATCGTGAATAATGCTGTTCGTTTTATCAGAATGAGAAACAACCTGATATTACAATGTCAGGTGATGAGGTACAATATCAGCTGATGAAATTAACAGCATTGTTCATGAAACGTTGGAACGAACAATGGATTAAAACATGCAGAAAACCGGTAAACCTATTAGCATTTTTAAAGAGAATACCGTAAAAGCCTTAAAAACATATGTTACATAAATCTTTTGATAATTATTGACCTAAGTTTGTACTTGAAATTTACATAATGTCAGCCTTTTGAATAAAATTGAATTTTATAAATTCGTGTTTCTTTTGCTTAATTGCTTCCTCGATATGTCATCTAAAAATGTCACATGACGTCTTAAATATATTATCTGTAATAAGCAAATTTAGTGAAAATAGGTCACAGTTCGCTTGTACAGAAATTATTGATAATAAATGTATACAATAGTTACTGAATACGTACGTTATAATAATATAAGTGTTGTATAAGCAATAATAAATTGAACTAGACCGCGTAAATGAATATCACAAATAAATTTTAAATAAAAATATTACCATTCTCAGGATGAGGTAATATTTTTCGCAATAATTTTTTTTTGTAGTGTTCGCATTGTTAAAAATAGAAGATCAATTTAATTATGATCTCGTCATTCCAACTTCAGCTTATGATTGCGTTGCAAGTCCGACATTAATTCGAGGTGCAATTGAAAAAGGCCGGATTTAAAATTCATATAAAAATATTATTAGGCGCCAAAATTTAGCCTCGATCGAAGATGCTTATAAATGTTGTAGTTACAATAAAAAAAATATTGATACTATTGATTCTCGCATCTTCGTTTTGTTAAAAGGAAAAAAGTGTCGAATGTACAAGAACCGTGTTCTTAGGAAGCAAGTAAGGCGTTCTTTCGATTCGGGATGGGATTGAAAAAAAAAACGACGTGAGGAAAACACTTATGTGTATCGTGACTATAGACGCACTTTCCGCAGTTGAACTGTGTGTATGTTCTTGATATGATATTGAATCTTCTCTATAGGAGACATGTGTACATACTCGGCGCTGCAATTGTTTTATCTTTTTTAGAAATGTACTTTTGTGCGAATCATTATGACAGAATTAACATGCTGGGACGAGAAGATGCGAATACAGTTGTATGTATGCACGTTATCTACTCCGCCGATATAAAAACTAATTTTTATCTCTTCCAACTCGTTACTTTAGAAACGAAGCACTCCAAAGAAAAACCGGGATGCTACTTTACCTTTTATATGTTACCCGCGTCTTTGTTATTTCACGACGGAGATATTTTCGTAAATTAACTTCCAAAATGCGCGCGTCTTATTTTTTAGAGTTTCATATTATGCACGAATTGTTTGATATGGCTCCAATAATTACATTTTATTTTATTTTGGCCATGTTTATATTTTCATATCATTTTACAGATTGCTTTTCCAATTTTTTGATAAATTTAGAATTATTATTTATGTTATCTCTAAATGCAATTTCTTAACTTTCAACAATATGATGTATTTTGCACGTTGTAAGGTTTGAAATATATGAAAACTTTGAATTTAGAACACTGCGGACTGCAGTATGTTTAGTTCCCTTTTATTTTAATATTTGTGATACAAGGGAAAAATGAACAACATATTCACCACAATATTTGAAATTTTTTTCATTATTTCGTTTTACTGTTATCGATTTCAATTAAATAAAATATATAGTTAATCAAAAATGGAATTTCTTTTTTTAACTCTACAGTTCTCTTTAAAGTTTGAAATTAATGTAGAAAAAAATATTTTACTTTTTTCAACTACTGTTATCTGATTATTACGTTGTTACGTGGGCTGTATCGCTATTTCAATGATTTATGGCTGAATATGATAAAAGTGTCATAAATGCATGGAATAAAAAGCGGATACGTAATGGAGTTTCTACGGACGCTCGGACTTTGATGCGAAATCGATGCTCCCGTTTCTCGCTGTATTTCACTATGTTTCATGATTCTACTTTTTTTCTTATTCATATATTCACGCGATCTTATCGCGAGATACGCTGTAAAAGTGTGATTAAGTGTGATTATAAGTGTGATAATTGTATTCTATATAGTTTCTTTCGTAATTTAAATAACAAAGATATATGTAATCATTAGTTACTTTTATTCTTAATAAAATAGATAGTAATGATGTTCAAAGGAGATGATAAATAGAAAAATGTAGGCGTGGTCGTATTTTCACGAATATATGCACCGGATGCAGTTGAATACACACGGTGACCTTCGATGTGCGCGAAGTCGCAACATTGTTCTTTTTGTATATTTTATACGAGAAATTTCTAGAAGCACGTAATGCCGGTTTTGCTATCTGGGAATTATTTAGCTCGCTATTTCTAGTCGCATCGATATTCCCAACATGTATTTATTTATTGTTTTGTGGTCTTTGATTACCGCGGCGTTCTAGTTTGTAACGAAATAATTATCGCCGCACGTATCGATGATCAAAATAAATTAAGTAGATTAAAAACATAGAGATTTTAAATAGCAAAAGGGGAATAGTATTAAAACAATAGTACAACGTATATGTTCATAAAACAACGGAAATAAATTGGCGATGCAAAGTGTGCGACTCACTGGATTTAATTGCAGTTTTTCGTAGCGCTTAATTAACAGGGAGAAGCGTTCTCAATTGGCTGAGTGAATATCGTCGAAACGGAGAGATAACATAAAAAGAATGTTTCGAATAAAATCGGCTTGGACGTGTTCATTCTTCCGTGTCTCATTACACATTCTGGACGACCTAGTTTCGCCTATATTCGATCTGCGCAGTTACTCTCTTGAGTATCGTGACACCTCCGTTCCTGCTTCCAAAATGAAGTTTCTGTTACTTAAATTTTTATGAATTTTTGCCGATTACCGAATGCCCTCCGCGCGCGATTCTCTCCGCAAAATCTCACGTATTCAAAGTGCAGATTGACATTTTTTATTCCTACATGGAGTGGTTGCGGCGCGTGGAAGATCCTCCGCCCGCGCCGGTGGATTAAAATCAGTTCGATTTTTCGCATTTGAAAGTCGAATCACCGCGAGAAGTCGTGCAAGTGTCGCATGACTTTTGCGCATAATTCCTCCGCTGCGTTTCTATCGTGCAAACCGTACGTACGTGCATACATTTCGCCGACGTCGTCGCCGAGCAGCTCTCGCGGATTCGAGAGTTGACGCGTGGCGGAAAGGGGATAAAGCCCCTTGGTAAATGAGCTTTTTGCCCTATCCCGCGCAGGTCGGGCATGTTAGGCGCGGAGGTGCCTAAACGTATTGCAAGAAGGAGATAAACCGTAGACGTGCTTAATCCAGTCGTCGGTATATTAATGCGCGAGAGGAAACGTGAGGATACTGACGAAAGGAAATAGAGAGTGAGCGAGAAAGAGAGGGGAAAGGAGACGGATGCGGGATATACGAAACCCCGGAGAGAGAAGGATCGAATTCAGAAAGCTTTCAGCTCTCTGCAGCCTCCTCTGTTTCTCTCGCGTAAATGAAAGAACGGTCGGGGAGAGCATCACCGAGGTCGGACGATGAAAAATAGGGGAGGAGCGTGGGCGGTGGAGTAACGTGGAAACCATTTTTTGTCCTACATTTTTCACTCTTTTTTCCTTTTCTCTTTTCTTTTCTCTCATATCGCTGTATGTTAGCGTTGCGTCAACCTTTACTGACGATGAACGATCTTATTTTGCGTGTGGCGACGCCGCCGTTGGTGCAAAGCCGATATAAAATTTGATCGCGCCGGACTGAAGCGCAGGCGAGAGCGGAAAAATTTCTCTTCCTGTTTTTAGGATTTATAGATTCGCTGATATCTATATTTTTTTTTGCGACAAAAAGGATTTTTTGTTCGAGCTTTTTTATGTAATCGCTTATATATATTGGATTTCAGAAAGAGTAGAAAATTTGTTTGAAATAAATATTTTCGACGAATCCTTTAATCTTTTAAAATATTTTAAATCATTTGTTTCTCACTATCTAAAATTGAAAAGAAATTTTCTCTTATGATCGTATCTAGTAATTCTATCTAGGGTCTAATTTCTTCATAACAATATGTATTTCCTTTGCTTCAATTTAAAAAAAAAACGACACAATTGTCAGAAAAATGATACTCTTCTTTTGTGTCACCTTTTCGTTGTTCGCCTGGAAAAACGATATTCATTTACAAGCGATAAAAAATTCGATGTTATTACTAGACGCTCATTTTCCGAAGCTTCTTCATCTTCACGCGCAACGTACGAGACGCGCTACGGTTCATTGTATCGACGAGATTCAAAGACGCGTGATAAGCACGCATCTTTTTCTTACAGCTTACAGTGTTTATGCTAATAGCAATACCCGTATCACGGGTTCTTATCCTCTGATAAAGGGGAAAATTCATCCCATTAGCAAACGGAAATTTACATGGATGTATTTGTTAGCATTACATTAGTTAGCGATGAATAATTGTTCTTTATTCATCAATTGTCATACAACTGATGAATAAATTTAATAATCCTAATTATATATTTGCACATTTCTATATAATTCTAAATAAATAGATTCTTCCTCAGATTAATTGAATAATATAATTTACATCTATCACTTTACAGAAATTATATTAAATTTTATTTAGTGCATATGTCTAATAAATTTATTAACTGAGTTTATTAAACATAT